ATCCAGAAGGATACCATGGTCGATGGTATCGAAAGCCACTGAGAGGTCCAGGAGAACTAACAGGGACGCACTCCCCCTGTCTCTTTCCCTGCATAGGTTATTGTACAGGGCGACCAAGGCAGATTCAGTACCGTACCCAGGTCTGAAGCCAGACTGAAATGGGTCCAGATAATCAGTTTCATCCAAGAGTGCCTGGAGATGTCCCACCACCACCTGCTCTAGCACCTTACCCAAGAACGAGATGTTGGCCACCAGTCTATAATTGGCGGCCACCTCTGGATCCAGGGATGCCTTTTTTGAGACTGGCCAGACTACCACCTCCTTTAAAGGGGCAGGTACCCGGCTGTCTCTTAAAGAGGTGTTGATCACCTCCAGGATCCAGGTCCCTATCCCGTCCTTGGCTTTCTTGAGTAGCCAAGATGGGCAAGGGTCTAGTAAGCAGGTGGTAGGACGTACTTGTCCAAGCACCTTGTCCACATCATCAGGTCACAACAACTGAAATTCATCCATTAATTGTGGACTTGATGGCGTCATTGGCACCTCCCCAGTAGAATCTGATTCAATAGTAGAGTCAAGCTCGTGATGAATCTGAGCGATTTTCTCCCTGAAATGCTTGGCAAAGTCGTCACAGTGGGCCTTCGAGGGTGGCACAAGATCTCTCTTTGGGTCCGGATGTACCAGCCCCTGCACCACTTGAAAAAGCTCCGCCAGACAGCATTGTGAGGAGGCAATGGAAGTGGAGAAAAATTTCTTCTTTGCCGCCCTCACCGCCACAGCATAGGCCCGATAGTGGGCTCTTAAGTGTGTTCGGTCAGATTCATCCCGTGATCTCCTCCAACTACGCTCTAGATGTCTCCCAACCTGCTTCATCGCCTGTAATTCAGATGTGTACCAAGGAGATGAACAGGCTCTGCCAGGTGGGAGAGGATGCTTGGGAGCGATCGTGTCAATAGCCCTGGTCATCTCCCCATTCCATAGTTCAACCAAGGCATCGATAGGAACACCAGCCTTGTGTTGGAAAATCCCCCAGAGCCTTCAGGAATCCATCAGGATCCATCTGGCTCCGGGGGCAGACCAACACAATCGGGCCCGCACCCTTACAGAGGGAAAGGCTGCTCTCGAGCTCAAACCTAATGAGGAAGTGATCTGACCATGACAAGGGCGTCAGACTTAAGTCCTCACTCTCAGATCACCCTCTTCCTGCCCTGTTGAGAAAACCAGGTCCAGAGTGTGTCCACGCTCATGGGTCGGGCCAGTGACATGTTGAGACAGCCCCATGGCTGTCATGGAGGCCATGAAGTCCTGAGCCGCCCCGGTCAGAACTGTCTCGGCATGGAGATTGAAGTTCCCCAGGACCAGCATCCCGGGAGTCAACACCAGGTCCAAGATGATCTCCGTCAGCTCAGGCAGGGAGTCTGTTGGGCAGAAGGGTGCACGGTACACCAACAGAATCCCCAGTCTGTCTCGGTCGCCCAACACCAAGTGGAGGCACTCTAGACTCGGCCTCGAGAGGACAGGAAGCCCCAAAAGGGAAATAGAAGCTCGATAAATCAGAGCGACCCCCCCTCCCCTCCCCTCCAGGTGTGTTCGGTGCTGGACCAGGTACACAGGCAGGCACAGTTGTGAGAGGGCGACATCCCCCCTTCCCCCGCCCAGTCTCTGTGATACAAGCCAGGTCGGCCCTCTCATCCACAATCAAATCGTGGATGAGTGTTGCTTTGTTTTGGACCGACCTGCCATTAAACAGCAGCACCGACAGGCCTGGGGGGCAGTTGACAAGTCTACCTGGAACCCGCCGGCTGGGGGAATAACCAGAAAGAGGAACAGGTGTTAACTATCTGTCCCTCCTTCTTCTATGCAGACCTATTAAACCCCCAATGCCATAACATCCATTGCCCATGACCACCCCAATGGTGGTGCCCACGTGCTCCCCAGGCGACATCATACTGTAAGCATGAGATGCACCATTAAAAACAACTTAAAACCAACAATTAAAACAGCTAAAAGCGTACTCACCTTAACCCCCCGCCAGCCCACAAACAAGACGAGAACCAGAGCCCCTGGCCAGCCCAGCCCCCGCTCAGCTCCCCAAACGGCGTCACCACCCTTAGGCTGTCGCCCTTCGGCCATCGCCCCGAGGCCACTGGCCCCGGCTGCCGCCGGCGCTTTCTAGGCCGCAGGGCCCCTCCCCCTCGCCCCACCCCGTCCCGGTGTGTCTCTCACTCATGCCGGGGGGGGCGGAGCAGGGTCCTCGGCAGTGGTCCTGGCGGCGTGGGCAAGCCTCGGAGGCAGCAGCAGGCCTCGGCAGCAGCGGCAGGCCTTGGCGGCGTGGGCTTTGGGCAGCACAGATGGTGGTGGGCCGCTCGTTGACGCTGGTTGCTCCCAGGGGCCGGCCTGGCCACCACCGGCGCTTTCTAGGCTGCAGGGCCCCTCCCCCTCGTCCCACCCCATCCTGGTGCGTCTCTCAGTCACACTGTGGGGGGGCGGAGCAGGGTCCTTGGCGGTGGTCCTGGCGGCAGCAGCGGGCCTCGGCGGCAGCAGCAGGCCTCGGCAGCGCGGGCTTTGGGTGGCGCGGATGGTGGTGGGCCGCTCGTCGACGCTGGTCGCTCCTGGGAGCCATGCTAAACACATTTAGTATGTGTTTCTTGTGCAATCTGCTCTGCTCCTGAATAGAATGTTCACCGATTAGATTCTCTCTCTTTCTTTAGGATTTGCTTTTAGTAGATTTATGTTTATGTTATGTTTTAGCTAAGATTCTGATTTTAATCCATATTTTATAAATATTAGCCCCACTGAGCACTCTTCTTAGCAGAAAGGCAGGCAGTAAAACTAATGCTTAATTAATTGTCTCAAACTTTCCCACTGGACATCCTGCTTTTCTATTATTTATACTCAAAGGAGCTAATGCATTTGTTAGAAACAGACATCTAACCAATGTCTGTAAAGCACAGACATCCCAAACAAACCTTTAATAAAATCCCACAATTAAGTTCTTGAAGCACAACTACAATCCAGTATATAGTTTATCTGGGAGTGAGTGTCATTGAACTCAGTGATGCTCCTGACTGCAGGGCTTCAGCTTGTAAATCACACCTAGTTTTAAGAAGTGTTTAAGCTGGAATTGTTTAAGGTTAAGCTGAATATTTATTATTATCTGGAGTAAGAGCCTCAACAAAGAAAAGCAAAGAAGCATCAGGCTTTTGTGACATTATCCCCTGACTTCCTCTATTTTAACCCCTCACAAACAATAGTGAAAATTGAAATCCTTATCATCACCTCAAAGAACTCCACAAATCTCAAGTTTGTGAGGGTATTCCCTCCTAGGACTCACCATAAGGCAGAGAGGACAATAACGATCTGTCAATTATCTGTCAATGACATCATTGCTCCTGCTCTGAAAGAAGTCCTGGAGATGTGCTGTTCTGCATTCCATGGTGCCTTGGAGCATTGGGTGTAATGTGAGGCATGTTTAGACAGAAAAAAATTCTACAACTTCCAGTATTCCTGAAACAGATTACTAATGTTGTCATTACAACTGCAACTACATGTTTTCATTTGCAAAATACATTGTAAACCATCCAGAGAGCTTCAACTATTGGGTGGTATAGAAATAAATTATTATTATTAATAATATTTTATGTTTTTTGTTGCACTGTAGACATACGTCCGTGATATTTACCCATTTCGAAGATCAGTATCTCCCCAGTTGAACTTGGTACACATGCACCCGGAGAAGGGGCAAGAACTTATTCAGAAACAGGTATTCCATCTTGCATGGGACTTTTCCAGCAGGAACCTCAATGAAAAAAATAGAAACTTAGAAACAGAGCGAGCCAGAAGGGGTCTCCCAGGCCATATAGTCAGAACCCTGGCTCCAGCCAGCTCTGCTCATGACATGCCCACCATGCGAATGTCCAGCCTATCTTTGAACACCCTCACCGATGGGGCTTCAATGACCTCCTGTGGAAGCCCATTCCATACCCTCAGGGTCCTAACTGTCAGGAAGTGCTTCCTGGCATCTAAATGGAACCTTGGTTCCCTGAGCTTTGCTCCGTTAGAGCGTGTCCTACCGTCCTCTGCAGGGGAGAACAGGTCTCTTCCCACCTCCGGGTGACATCCCCTCACATACCTGTATGTCGCCAACATATCCCCTCTGAGTCTCCTCTTCTCCAGGCTGAAGAGACCCCGTTGGACTCTTAGTCTTGCCTCATACCCCATCCCCTGCAAACCGGCCACCAGTCTTGTGGCCCTAGGCTGCACTCACTTGCCTATATCCTTTCTGTAATGAGGGGCCCAAAACTGAGCACAATACTCCAGTTGCGGGTGCACCAGAGTTGTATAGAGTAATAGTAATACCTCTCTCGATCTAGAAGCCACAGTTCTGGCTATGCAACCAAGGGTGGCGTTCACCCTCTTGACCACCGCATCACACTGCTGACTCATGTTTAGCCTGCAGTCAACCAGGACCCCGAGGTCCCTTTCACAAGTGCTGCTCTCCAGCCACTTGTCCCCTAACCTGTACTTAAGACACCTATTCCTATGCCCCAAGTGCAAGACCTTGCACTTATTCACATTGAACGCCATCCTGTTGTCTCCTGCCCACTTCCATAGTCTGTCCATATCCTTTTGGATCTGGAGTACCTGCTCCTCAGTTGTGGCCACTGCTCCAGTTTTAGTGTCGTCTGCGAATTTGATCAGCACACTGTTCACCCCTTCTTCCATGTCATTGATGAAAAGATTAAACAGGATCGGCCCCAGGACAGGGCCCTGGGGGACCCCGCTTGTCACTGGCCACCATCCTGATCATTCCCCACTAATGGTTACCCTCTGCTTTTGGTCAGTCAACCATGTCCTAATCCACCAGACAGTGCTTTGGTGTATCCCAAAACTCCTCAGTTTCTCCACCAGGATATCATGGGGCACTTTGTCAAAGGCCTTGCTGAAATCCAGGTATACCACATCCACTGCATCCCCTCATTCTAGCCATCTCGAAACCTTGTCGTAGAATTCCACAAGGTTTGTCTGGCAGGACCTGTTTTTGCAGAAGCTGTATTATGTGGCTGCCAGCCTCCCTTCCCTATCTAGCATCACTAGATCTCTCACTATTATGAGCCTTTCCATTGTTTTTCCTACAATAGATGTAAGGCTAACTGGTCTGTAATTCCCCCGTCCCTTCTACTACCCTTCTTGAAAATTGGGACCACTGATGCCACCCTCCAGTCCTCTGGAACTTCACCTGTTCTCCACGAGGCCTCAAAAATGGAGGCCAGTGGGTGTGAGAGAACCCCTGCCAACTGTCTAAGTACTCTCGGGTGTAATCCGTCAGGGCCTGGCACCTTTGTAATGTCCAATGCCCTGAGGAGCCCCTTGACTTCAAGGGGGATGACTCTAATCTGTGCCCCTAAGTCCCCGACCTCATCTAATTTCCTATGCGGATATCCCCCATCCTGCTTTGGGGAGAGCACAGAGGAAAAATAGTCATTTAGCATCTGTGCCTGTTCCCTCATACCAGTCACTGGATCTCCTTCCTCCTTATTTAGTTGTCCCACTACTTGTCTCCTCTTCCTCTTCCTATTTATATGCTGAAAGAAGCCCTTTTGGTTGCTCTTGATATTCTTGGCAAGTCTCAGTTCGTAATCAGCCTTAGTGTGAATTGTTATTTAGTTGGAATTGTTACTAGCTAAGACAGGAACCATGTTGGCAGGAACCTCTCTTCCACCTCAGCATCCATTACAAAGGGAGGAGTTCCCATCCTTCCCCTCAGTTTTTCTTGAATTGCCTATAGTTTCTCAGGAACTCTTCTCTTCTTTTTGAGTTCTGAGCATTTTTTTTCTTTTTACTCTTCTACTCTTTAATGTGGATTTCTTGATTTCTATCTCCCTCCACTTTCTGATGTGTTCTGAGGACACTGAAGACCCCCTTCAGAAAAAGTGTTTTTGCAGTGGCTCCAGGCAAGATCTTCTGTACCTGGGAGCAGGGTATTAGAGGTACTGCAGGGACTGATAAGACTCCTACAGAGAGGGGCCAGGTATCAGGGAGGATGGGAGGGAGGAGGAGGCTGGGGGCTCCAAGGAAAGGAAGCGGTGGGAAGGAGTTGAGGTGCATGAACACTAATGCTAGGAGCATGGGTAATAAGCAGGAAGAGCTTGAAGCTCTCCTGTGAATAGGAGGGTATGACCTGGTGGGAATCACAGAAACTTGGTGGGATGAAAGGCAAGATTGGAATGTGAACCTACAGCGATATCATCTTCCTGTCCATTTTAGAAAGGACAGAAAGGGAAAGAGGGGTGGGGGCGTGGTTTTATATGTCAGGGAAGGGATAGGATGCAATGAGATAGAAAGCAGCACAGATGGGGATTCGATAGAGGCAGGCTGTGTGAAACTTAGGGGTCTTGACAGGGAAAGAGACCGACAGTGGGGGTTTGTTATCGCCCTCCAGGTCAACTTGAGACCCTGGATGATGTCCTGACAGGCCAGATTCTAAGGATATCTTGGGGGAGAGACACAGTAATTATGGGAGATTTCAATCTCCTGGATATTAGTTGGGAGACTCACTCAGCGGTGACAGCCAGGTCACGTCGCTTCCTAGAAGCTATTGAGGGAGGGTTTTTCACACAGAGGGTCCGAGAGGTGACCACGTTGGTGGTCTCATTTTGAACTGAAAGAAAGGGTGGGAAGGGAGGGGTTCCTGCCAAAACGTTCTTAGCTAGTACAGTGGTACCTTGACTCACAAACTTAACCGTTCCAGGACTCTGGTCATGACCCAAATTGGTCATGAGCCAAGTCAAATTACCCCATAAGGGTCAATATAAATAAGTTTAATCCATTCTGTAATTATTTTTTTTGCTCACAAAAAATTTGAAGCAAAGTGACAAAGAACAACAAAGCTATCGTGGGCGGGTGGTGGGAGACGGGTGCAATAACGGGTGCACTGGCGGGGAGAGACTGGCATGATCGCAGGCATGCTCGGGGGGATGATGGGTGCAATCGCGAGCACACTCGGGCAGGGAACATGGGCACAATCACGGCCATCTCCCCCCCTCCAGTACTATCGTGGCCATCTCCTCCTCCCTGCAGCATAATTTTTTGTGAAATTTCTGTTCGCAACCCAATTTGGTCATGAATTGAGGCGTTCGTGAGCCGAGGTACCACTGTAAAATCTTCCTGCAGAGCCCATATGTGTGAATGCACAGATGATCACTCATGTTGTTGTTAGTCACGAAGTCATGTCTGACCTATCGCGACCCCATGGACAACATTCCTCCAGGCCTTCCTGTCTTCCACTATCCCCCGGAGTCTGCTCAAGTTCACACCAACTGCTTCAGTGACTCCATCTAGCCACCTCATTCTCTGCCGTCCCCTTCTTCTTTTGCCATCTATTGTTCCCAGCATCAGACTCTTCTCCAGGGAGTCCTTCCTTCTCATTAGGTGGCCAAAGTATTTGAGTTCCATCTTCACTATCTGGCCTTCTAAAGAGCAGTCAGGGTTGATCTCCTCTAGGACTGACCAGTTTGATCGCCTTGCGGTCCAAGGATCTCGCAGGAGTCTCCTCCAGCACCACAATTCAAAGGCCTCAATCCTTCGGCGCTCAGCCTTCCTTATGGTCCAGCTTTCACAGCCATACATCGCAACTGGGAAAACCATAGCCTTGACTATATGCACTTTTGTTGGCAGGGTGATGTCTCTGCTTTTTAGTATGCTGTCTAGATTTGCCATAGCTTTCCTCCCCAGGAGCAAGCGCCTTTTAATTTCTTGGCTGCAGTCCCCGTCTGCGGTGATCTTGGAGCCCAGGGAAATAAAACTGTCACTCATAGAATGACAGTTATGGATAAGCAACTTGCCTTTGCTTGAACCCACTATCTGAGGGTTTACTCTTAACAGTTAGGATATAAACAGAAGAAATAATTAATTAATAATAAACTCCCTGTAAAGCAAGAACCGACTGCGTCGGAAATAATATGCATTGGTGAATGGTAATGAAGGTGGGAGTTATGAAACATCTAGATAAATTGCATCAACATAATTTGCAAGAGATTTGGACACTAAGAAATGGAACCCTAATTTCTAACAGAGGGCTATATTTCAGGCTTGCAGGTATACTTTAGATGCATAGCGAACCGTCTGCTTAAGGACATGGGCATAAGGGTAGCAAAATACTTTTTAACCAGGTGTTAGATTGAAGGTCTGATTTTAGGTGTGTTGGGTGCAAGCAGATTGCTGGACCATTTGTCTGGGTATTTGCCTAGGTATTCACACGCAAGCTAGAAGAAGTGGGCCGGGTTCTGTTCCTCATTTCTCTGACACAGAAGATCCCTATCGCTCACAAGCAGTCTCATGTATCTTTGCTACAAGAGGACCTTCTTCGTTTGCCCTCTTTCCCTCGAAGTGCCATTGATGCAGAATTCTCACTCTTCAATGATCCACAAGGTACTACAGATAAATTTTCTTGCTGAAATTCCGGTGGCTCAATTCAGTTGTGGGGTAGAGGACATATTTTTCTGTGTGGATAAAATGAAATGTCCATTGATCCTCTTAGTTAATGGTTTAGTGTAATGAAGTTTTCAGGCTAGAAAATTATAATGGTATGGGAACTAGTGGGAGTTCTCTCAGTCTATAACCAAAGCAGCTACCACCATTTTCCCTGATATTCTCATCTATGAGAGCTACTGGGCTGCACATGCTGCTGCTGCTGCTGCTGCTGCTGCTGCTGCTGATGATGATGATGATGATGATGGGGTTACTGATCAACGTGAAATGTTTTTAGGAAGGTAAAACATTATTCTTTGAAAGAAGCTGCAGCATTTGAGTTTGACATTAATTTGTTTCCTCTTTTAGCTGGAAAGGAGCTCTTTGGCCTTGACACTCTTCACAAAAGCCTGTGGATTAAACTATTAGAGGAGATGTTTTGGGGGATGCCCAGTGAATTTCCCTGGGGGGATGAAATCATGCTGTTCCTGAATGTATTCAATGGGGCCCTGATCCTACATCCTGAGGACAGTGCCCTCTTGAGGCAATATGCTGCCACAGTAATCAACACGGCTGTGCATTTCAACCACCTCTTTTCTCTCAGTGGATACCAGTGGATCCTCCCCACTATGCTGCAGGTGAGACAGAGGCATCAACAACACTGAACTAGCTGATAGGCCAGTTCTCCTAGAGTCAGGCAGTCAGCTCAGTTTAGACATATGTCTGTGTTTAAGGCACATCTGAAGAGCCATGTTGGCTCAGTCCAGAGACTACATATTCCAGCACCCCGTTCCCAGAGTAACTAACCAGATGTCTCTGCAAAGCACATGTGCAGGGTGTGAGTGTAAATGTTTCCTGGTCATTTGTATTGAGAAGCATACTTTTTATGATATGGGAGGCAATATATGGCATCAGAATGGGTTTTCCATGAAACTTGCCTTGGAGTCCTTGTTGTTGCTTTAAGTCATAGTGGCAATTTCTTCATCACACCATTTAATGACACAGTTACATTGTCTTTTGGTGGAGAAATACATATCCAAGTAATTATTCCATCAGAAAGGAATGCCTCTCTGTGTGCCTGCATATAGTGCCGGTTCTGGGTTTTGGAGGGCCTTTGGGCCAGACACTCTCAGTGATCCCCCATCCTCTGTGAGTCTCTTTTGTCATGACCATGGTTACCAGCTGTTATTGTTGCTCACCTTCCTCCTTATCATTGCTTCAACTTTCATGTTTGACAGGCAGAGAACCCATGACTGAGTAGGCATCTGCAGCCCATTCTTCACATCAGTTTTCTGGGCTTAAGCACCCAGGAATATGTTACTTAAGAGTGAAAGACAGTTAAATAAACAATTTGCAAGGATGAAGAGGAGGAGCAACTCCAGGGCTATCAGGCCTGCTAGTGCCCAGCCACGCCTATGCTTGATGCCACCTGTATTATAGGCATAATACAGGAATGGAATATGTGGAGTTTTTGAATGTAATTTGTCTCCAGGTCATCATTTTTTTTCAAACAGTACTTTCAAGGGTATTCTTTCTGCCCAGGTATATGCTGACTATGAAAGCAACCCTCAGCTGCGACAAGCAATTGAGTTTGCCTGCCGCCAATTTTACATTCTGCATCGTAAACCCTTTGTCCTGCAGTTGTTTGCCAGTGTGGCTCCACTCCTGGAGTTTCCTGTGAGTACAAACAGATTCCCTACATCAGCTCTGAGTGTTTGTTTTAGCAGTTGTGATAGCTGAATCCTAGGCTTAGATGATTGTTGATTGTCCATATTGGCTGGTTTGTACAACCAGCAGGTAAGGGAGTCATGGTGGCTTCTTATTTTTAGCCCCATGTGTGATGTGTGCTGTGTATTTTGCTCCAATTATGGGTTCTGGAGTGGTTTAGAAGCTACTCCCAACATGCACCTCAGCAGGTTTGGATGGCATGGAAAGCGGCACAGGCAGTTCGGTACATTGCAGAGTGGGTGCCTCTGCTTCTTTTCTCACTGGTTGTCCAAGCAGTCAGAGTGTTGCCTTGTAAATGGAATAACATGAACTCTCCACTCTCAAGAACAGCATTTTGTGCAGTAATATAGAAAATACACAGTTCTTACCTATTCCTCAGTTCTCTGACAAATCTTTACCTTCTAATGCACATACATGGTTAAACCATTCTTTAGGAAATGGATAGGATTATCCTTCCTTTCTTCAACCACCCATCTGGCCCACCGAGAGGAGAGTGAATGTGCTTGCCCTCTCTGCCCATTCAGCAGGCCGGTGGTAGGTGTCCACAAGGACAATGTGCATAGGCCGATGTCCTAAAGATTATCTCCTGGAGAGAAGAATCTGGTAATAGCTTGATTTTGGCTGATGTGCAATGGTTTTTAAACACATTGGCTACTCTCTTTGGACAAGTTCTCCACTGTGGATGGTCTCAGAGGCAGGGCTAGTGCACTGAGTAGATAAGAAGGGTTCTCTCATTGCATTCGTCTTCCTTGAGATTTCCTGGAAATGTCAGAAATGTTTATTTTGTGAAGAACAATTGTACCTGTTCACCAAGCCATGATAAATACCATCCTATAGAGATAAATAGTACTAAGATTTGGTTATTCACTGGAGGTACTTGGTTGACCTGGATATTAATAAACATTAATAGATATTAATAGGGCATAGGGTTTTCTAATCTGTGCCACAGACTTTCTAAAATTGTGAAAATTACTGTTGAAGAATAACATTCACTGAGTTTCTGAAATAACTATCACATAATGCAGTCCCAGGGCAAACCATCCTCTCAGGCTGCAATTTGCTGTGGAAAGGAGGTTGTTGTTGGCACCAGTGGCAACATTATGGGGCATGGTTTTAATCAGAACTGCGATGGTTGAGGAATGAAGGGAAGGGCTGAACCCTTTGTAAAGCATACTTTGGAGATATTGCAGCTTCTGTTCCAGACCACTGCAATAAAGTGAATATTGCAACAAAGCAATTCACGGATTTGGGGGGAGGTTCCTGATGCATATCAAAGTTACGTTTACTTTGTGTAGTCTATTAACTATGCAATAATATTATGTCTTAAAAACAATGTACACACCTTAATTAAGAAATACTTTATTGCTAAAAATGCTAACCACCTGAACCTTCAGAGAGTCATAATCTTTTTGCTGGTGGAGGGTCTTGCCTCGATGTTGGTGGCTGCTGGCTTATCAGGATGATGGTTGCTGAAGGTGGAAATTCCTTAAAATAAGACAGCAATGCAGTTTGCTGCATTGATTGACTCTTCCTTTGGCTGTTTGGTGCAAGAGGCCTAGCTTTCAGCCTATCTTGGCTTTCAACATGCCTTCCTCACTAAGTTTAATCATTTCTAGCTTTTGATTTAAAGTGAGAGATGTGCAACTCTTCCTTCCAGTATGGTTGTGTCTCAGAGAATAGAGAGAGGAGAAGGAGAGAGGGAAATGGTCAGTCAGTGGAGCTGTCAGAAAACACACAATATTTATCAATTAAGTTTGCCATTTTATACGGGTGCAGTTCATGGTACCCCAAAACAATCACAATAGTAACATTAAAAAATCACAGATCCCCATAACAAATGTAATAATAAAGAAAAAGTTTGAAATACTGTGAGAATCACCAGAATGTGACACAGACACACAAAGTGAGGAAATGCTGTTGGAAAAATGGTGACTTGCTTGATGCAGGGTGCCAGAAACCTTCTATTTATAAAAAATGCAATATCTGCAAAGTACAATAAAGCAAAGTGCAATAAACTGTGTTATGTCTGCACTTGATCAGGTTCATATACAGATGTGATTTAACAAAACAATATTTAAAAAATCAGTTGCTTCATATATGATCTAGTTCGACCTGGTGTCATCCTGTTTTCTTGATTTTAGTCAGATAAATGTCTTTCTCAATCATTGAGACTTGGAGCACTTTGAACCAAATGCATACTTTTTCTGTGCTTAATTAACAACCTAGGAACACCCCATTCCTGGACAGTTTTGTGATATCTGAGGCTCAAAATCTCACAATTATTTATACCTAGAGTTAACCTATTGTTAGAATCTATGGTTCGTTAACTGAAAATGGAAGTGGTATGCATGCAATTCACACACTCTGCTCCTCTTACAATTCCTGAATTGAACACCCTAGGAATTGTATAACATTAAGTATGAATTTTGTACATATATCATGCTGCCATGATGTATATATTAGATTCATTTAGCAGCATTCATGTAAAATGCTTACATTACCAAAATGGTACATCTCTAAGCATAATGACTAATGTAGTACAGATCCTCTGGAGCGATGATCCCCTGGAGAGAAGAATGGAGAGCCACTGTGGTGCAGTGGTTGAGAGCATGGGTCTGGAACTTGGGCAATCTGCATTCTAGTCCCCACTCAGCCATGGAGCCAACTGGGAGACTTTGGGTTAGTCACAAACTGTCAAGCCAACCTATCTCACAGGTTGGTTGTTGTGGGGGTAAGACTGAGAGCAAGAGGGGAAGAATGATGTAAGCTGCTTTGAGTTCTTGAAAAAGAAAAAAAGGTGGGATATAAATATAATGTAAATTAATACATAAATAATGGAACTTAAATAATCAAAGTAACTTTTCCCCCTACAAAAATACAGGAAGCTGCACACAATGGACCCAGCAAGGGGGTATCAGCTCAGTGCCTTTTTGACCTATTGCAGTCCTTAGAAGGAGACACTCCAGATAATCTGGACATTCTAGAATTGGTGAAAGCAGAAAAGCCTCTAAAATCTTTAGGTATTTTCCAAGTTTCTTTTAATTAGCCTTTTCTATGAAAAAAATGGTTTTGCTAACTTTTCGGACAATACTTTTGGTTTCAACTGTTTTTAAGTAAGTTGTTTTAAATTTACTACAAACAGTCCTTGAGTTCTCTCTACTTTATGTGTAAGCAAAGAGGACATTAAAAGTACAGTTCTTATCTTTCCTCCATTATATAAAAAGTATCCATCATTTCACAAATAGTGTTTTCTATTTTATGTTTGAAAATAAACTTCAAATTAATTTCAACAAACTTGTTTATATAATAAATGTTGTTTTTATTTGCTGAAAATGGTTCTAGCCTGCTTTGTGAATTTTGGCTTTTGTGACTAACTGGGTCATGTTCTTGAGCTTTCCATACATTACAATTTTTGTGTGCGTACTTAGAAGGAAGTCCCACTATGTTAAGTGAAGCTTACTCCTTACTAAGTGTATCTAGCTTTGCAAACTTCTGCAGGAATTCTATACATGTTTACTCAGAACTAAGACCACTGAATTCAATGCAGCTTATTCCCAGGTAAGCAGTTATAAGATTGCAGCTTTAGATTCCTTTATTAGAACAGTTAATCGAATTCCATCCAAGCCCACTTGTACACTGATAAAAAATTAAGCTATAATCAAACATGCAAAAGTTCTGCTTTAGTCTATTAAATGCAGTGCTCTTAAGCATGCCTAATTTTGTGTTAGATAGTGGCCTTAGTCTGTTATTAAAATGCAGAAATGGGAGTTGAACGTCCTTTTGAAATCTTCCTAATGTTTATGTTTCTGTAATGTTGAGTTATTAGAATATAGTTCGGCACTGGAGAAGAATATATCTTCTGTGGCAGAAAAAAAGCCCTTACTGGGCAGGGGGGAAATAACTTTCTGGGCTGGAGGGAAAAAAACTTTTAGGATTTTGTAGGACACATTTCAGCACAGAACTAGCTACAAGCTTCTAGTGTTTTAATTATTTGGGTTAATTGATCAGTTGTGATACAAGGTAATCTTGGGGACCATTGCACCTCAAAAAAGGGCCTTATTATATGCTTGTACGACATAGTTCTAAAGCAGCCTTCCCTAATTTGATGACCCACCTTTAGGTGTATTGCATGCATCATTTCCAGTCAGCAGGTCCAACAGTCACACTAGGTGGGATGATGAGAACCATGGTTCAGCACTTCAGCAGAGTGCCATGTTGGGGAAGACTGCTCTAAAGTCTCCCCCCATCCCAGTAATAACCTTCTGAGGTTAATCCTATTAAAGAAATCAGGACACGGAAAGTACTTGCCTAAGACACCTAGAGACATCTAGTGAAAGTGAGATCTGATTTAGTGAACCAAAGGTGCTTTGCTGAACCTATTTCATCTTCTTAAGTGTCATCACCATTTCCACATAGTTAGTTACCTGTTTCTGGCTTTTTCCTTTTCAGATTTCTGCTATGGCAATGAGGACCTTGCTTTTTCAATCAGCGAGGCTATCAAATTGTGTGTAACTGTTGTGGCATATGCTCCTGAGTCATTCAGAAGGTAACATCTATGTGGGGTTTTGTTTGTTCTGGTTTTGCTTCTGAGTGCATTTGCAAAGAATGAGTGACATGAGCTTGAGATACAGGAAAAGATACAACTCCAGTGCAACAGTTTGATATGGGCACCATTAGAACCCTGTTTGTGATTTGAATCTTTTTGACAGCTTTCTCTTACTGTTTCAAGCAGCATAATGTTATTTAGTGTTTGTTTTTAACTGATTTTTATTGAAATGTGGATAATCTAACCGTTATTTCAATAAAAAGGCTCACAATAATTTGCCAGTGTCCCCCCAGAATAACCAAAAAAGTATCATCAATTTCCAAACTTTTCAAAAGAAAGTCATCTGATTTTTAGAATACAAGCTTGTGCATGTTTAGACTGAAAAATGACCTACAGTTTTGAGTATTCAGAAGCTATATTTACTTCTGCTGCAACACTGAGGAGCTGCAGTCTCCAAACCCATTTTAGTTTCATAAAATATTTTAAAGATATGATACTTCTCTTTAACCCTTCTCACAATGTTTCAAGCAGCATGTCTGCCTTTTAACAATGTGTTCTAAGTGCCTTAAATGTTGCCTTAAATTTTATCTTGTTAAAATTTAACTGTTTTGTCATTATTGTTTATTTTACTTTTCATAATAAATCAGTCATGCTATATTACTGGAAAACTGCTACCACAGGAGGAAGGGCCTTCATAGTTGTCACAAGACGTGGCAAGACCTCTGCCTGGTACTGTTGGCTGCAGTCGAGAATTGATTTCAGCTGATCTTAGTTGTGCTGTACATCTGGCCACATCCTAATTTTGATTTCATTTTGACATGATGCACATCACCACAGTCTTCAGATGCTGATGGTCCTTGAAGCCCTGGTGCCTTGCTACCTGCAGAGGCTTAAGAGGCAAACTTCCCAAGTGGAGACAGTGACAGCAGCTCGAGAAGAGATTGCTGCTACTGCTGCTCTTGCTACATCCTTGCAAGCCCTCTTGTACAGTGTGGAAGTTCTTACTAGGTGAGGCACTCCAATTTTCTGTGTGCATTTTGGAGAACACAAAACTTGAAGAACATGAGAGCATTATTCCATATTATCGATCATGGTAAAAGTTGATATTCACTCATAAAAGTATAGTGTGGATCAATCTGAATTTTCAGATGAGAATTCAAATCAGCAAACCTCAGGGTGGAATTCAAAAGTTTCAAAGCTCATGATTTTCCATTTAAAATGTGATGTCAAAAATTGTTTAAGTGGAAACTGGGGGTCAAAGGCAAAATCTGAACTTTGATCATATACAATGGTACCTTGACTCACGAACTTAATCTGTTCCAGGACTCTGGTCGTGACCCAAATTGGTCATGACCCAAGTCAAATTTCCCCATAAGATTCAATGTAAATAAGGTTAATCCATTCTGTAAATATTTATCACAAAAATTTGAAACAAAGTAACAAAGAACAACAAAGTAACCAAGTACAGTGCAGTAGAGAACACTAACATAGGTTGGGGAGGTTATTGCTTGTAGGGAGAGTCCAAACCATAATCGTGCGATAGATCTTGCTGGGGGGAGCAGAGATGGGCACAATTGTGGGCGCGCTCATGCGGGGGGAGATTGGTGCAATCACAGGTGTACTGGGGGGAGGTGGGTGCAATTGCAGGCGTGCTTGTGCAGGGGGCGAAGGGCACGATTGTGCTGGTGGGGGAAAGACAGGCATGATCATGGTCATCAACCAATGTGAAGTTTACGAACTGAGGCAATTTTTCTCTGAAATTTCTTTTTGTGACCCAATTTGGTCGTGAACTGAGCCATTTGTGAGCTGAGGTACCACTGTATGTAGGTGATTTTTTAAAAATCATCATTTCCATGGCAGATTCAAAATTTGACACCAGGTTCTTCTTCTTCTTTAAATAGGCCAATGACTGCCCCTCAGATGAGTCGCTGTGATCAAGGGCATAAAGGAACTACTGCTGCTAACCATTCTATGTCATCTGGTACAAACACCAGGTAGTCAATTGAAGCTATCTTGCCACTTGCTCCACTCTCTAGTTATTAGAGTGCCTTATAATACTGTATTCATTCAATTCATCTTACAGCTGAAGCTCCTTTAATTTATCTAGCCCTTTTAAAAAGGACTTGACAAATGCTAGTTCCCATCTATTTTACACCATGTTTCTTGTAAACATGATTTAATAACATTCCCTGAGTTCTATGATCTAGTGTTAAGCATGTTTGCCCCAGTAATCTTTCTGTCATAATTTCAGTTTTAGTTTTAATGTTTGTACAGGGATTGTATAATAATTTTGTCACATTTTATATGCTGGAAGTCCACTGACAGAAAACAAATCTCCCTACAGATCAAGATCACACTTTTCTGGCATGCCCACATGTTTATTGCAAGAAATCCATATATAGATGTAACATTGAATAGAGCTATATGTACAAATGCAGTGCACCTAGGTCCGAAGAGTGCAGTCACCATCTCAGATACATCCAAGAACTAGCTGCACAAATCTGGGCTTTTGGACATGAGATTTCATTCAGATACAATGCCCTGTCCAAATGCTATACCTACACTAGGGCTTCTGGTAAACTGCAAGCAGGACAAGTAGCATGAGGAGGAAAGACATGCTTGCTCTCACTCCCCCACCACATGTAATGTATCGTTACTGGCTCAATGTATCTTTACTACTTCAGATCCTAGATTTTAAAAAATCACTCTTACCATTTTGTCTCTATTTCTAGGTACCCAGAGCAAGGAGCCAAATTGCACTTTATCAGGTATTGTAAGATTGCCATCTGCTACCCTTCACATGTGTTGATGAACTTTGCTTTTCTCTCTTTTTGGGTTCCACTTTCACCAATTTACTACAAGGGATGGCTTAAGAAGGAAAAACATCTAAAGAATTTTAACAGAGTTTTCTAGGCAACAGTATGTCTCTTTTTAGCTCCTGAATTGTTTATTCTTCCTTTCCTTCATGGAAGAAATTACTTACATCAAGTCATGATTAACCTCACAGGTACATTCCTAGCTGTTCATAAGGAGGGGTTCATTACAAACTTTTCATTCATTCTCACATTTTCTTTACCTTCGCTTTTCCATTCTGCCTCTTTCAGGGAAAACCTTCACTTGCTGGAGGAAGGCCAAGGACTTCAGCGGGAGGAACTTGATGAACGCATTGCTAGGGAAGAGTTCAGGCGTCCCCGTGAGTCCCTGTTGAATATCTGTACTGAGTTCTACAAACACTGTGGCCCCAGACTTAAGATTTTGCAGAACCTTGCTGGAGAACCCAGGGTGACTTCGTTGGAACTGCTGGATGTTAAGTCTCACATGAGGTATTATTTTAGTATATTGATCTTTTAAGAGCTATATAGACATATGTACAGTGCATATCAAACTGTAGAACTACATGCAGTAAATATATCTCAGGCCCAGGAGTTTTTCTTTGTCATCATAACACATTAAGCTGAATTCTAAAGTCTTTCTGAGCAGAATATGATCCAGCCATATTCTCCCCTGATTCCTTCATTGTCCTAAGAATGGAAAGGAAAGACATCCAGTCAGAGCCTGAAACCCGGACTGGCATCATGATATCAAAATCACAGCACAAACATGCCTAACTCGAGGTTAGTGGGATAATTCAACTTATTTATCAATTCTTGATATATCCTTTTACTACTGCCAACCCTAAAGCTTTGGTTAAAATCTGGATGGCATTTCTGGCACCAGAAAGACATAAGCTGCCCCCATGAAGTTTTGGTTTGTTCGTTTGTTTGCTTTTTTTGTAATTTATGGGTGCAGATATTTGCATTCTGTTTATGTTTAGTTCTGCAGAGTGCCTCTGTAAGAAAATAGTACATTTGATATATGGTTTCCCATATTTCAGTAGTGCCATATCATTTCAATATTTTTGTCCTGGAAAAAATGTGCTAATACTGGAATATATATGACTTCTTTGCCTTCCTCCCATAGCAGGGTTTTATTTCTAGTGCTGCAAGTCTCCCCATGCACATCACTTGCACACTTGATAAATTATTGTTGCAAAATCTGGAGTAAGGGAGAAGTTACTCCCATCACAATAGCCACAAGTCCTTAGTCAGTACATCTTATATTTCACAGCACACTCAGTAAGATTTAGCTGATTTAGAGTAACTCACGCCTTGGCTATGGAAATAAAGTGCTGCTTCTGTTCTACTTAAAGTTCCTCACATAAATTGATCAAAGCTGATTTTCTCCCTTTAGTGAGAACTAACTTCAGTGAAATGCTCAATAATTATTCAGGTTTCCTCTATGCATTTTAAAAGCCACATTGTTGTTAGTACAGGTGTGTATGATTATCTGGAAGAAATACTGCTAAGAGGTAGTTTTGAATGTTGATAAATAATCTGAATACAGGCATAAGCTAGTGTCTTACTGATCCATTTTTTAAAGCCTTTTCTTTCACAAGTAGTCAGCATGTGGACTCTGGCATTAGGAGAGCTAATGACATTAATGCTTTACCTTGCTATGGTCTTGATCTGGATTGAGAACTCACACCTTCCATTTGCACTGCTGGGAACAAGCACCTAATCACTCTTATAATCCTCTGCTTTGGAGTTGTGATGAGGTGTACAGCATAAAGTAGGGCAGCCTGATACACTGAACATCTTCTGATTCGGAATCATAGGCACACAAAGACACTCAACATTTCTTAAGTCCCATTTATATATGAAATAGAGTAATCTAGAGCAACTCTAGAATGGTAAATGGATCTTGAAAAGTAGAAATGCACATAGATATTGTTGTGCTATATTGCTGCAGTTGCCACAGTAAGACTGGGAACATGGAACAAGGATTTCTCAGGCACCTGTCAGAGGTTTTGTGACAGAAGTCCATTAAAGTCAAATACAGGGTTGTATCACTTTAAATGTATTTAGCATCTGCCTATTGTATCTCTATTAAAGTGTGTATAATTCAAATGACATAACTTTTGCTTTGTTGTCAGTTTCCAGCACCTAAGGGTTTGTGTCTAAAATTAAATTCTAATTCTAAATTAAAATGTAAAAAATCTATAATACTTTGTGATTTAAACCTTTAATGTTAACAAAGTTTCAAGGTAAATTGTTGAGGAAGGAACTTTGTAACGTACACATGGTCCAGCGTTTTTCTGTTCTACTTAGACTGCCACTTCTTTCTATAAAACTAAGGGTTACTGGGAGTTTTTCTAGTTACAATTATCTACATGCCTTCTCCTGTTTTCTAGAATATGCACTTCCTTCAGTTTAAACTGTAGATGTACTGGATAGTGATTTATTATGGCTATAGATTGAAAGCCTAGTGTTTGTCTTCTGACACTCAAAGGGTTTTCAGAAATTAGAGATCCCAGTATTCTTAAAGTAATAATGGTGATTATATGTAAGGAAAGCAATATGAGAAGGATGAGGAAAGTACAAGAACAACATAGCAGGATTTAAAATTTAGATGTGAGTGTTGCACCATGGCTAGAGTAAGCTGGGACTCTGACTGGGGCTCATGAGTCCTGTGTTCTAGTTGTCTCTCATCTATGAAGTACACTAGGTTACTTTGGATCAGTCACTGACTTTTAACTTAATCCACCTCACAGGGTAGATTAAGGAAGAGAAGCATGTAAGTTGCCTTGGCTTCCTTACAAAAGGAACAAAGGCAGGAGCCAACTGTAAAAACAGATAAAATTAATAATAGTGCATATAACATAGAAATGCAATATATATTCATTGAGAAATGAATTGACTTCATCTGAAAGCAACTATAACATTATTAGCATGGCTACTAAAATATCAGCAGTCAATCAGATCATATACAGTATTTGATTCTTCTTTGGTCTTTGATTATGATCCATTATTGTATACCATATATAGGTAATGGAACAATATTTAAATAAATGTCACAGAAGAAGTTAACTATGCTGAGAATATGTTTGGGGTTATGTTCTTGAATCACATCTATTAAATTGTCTGTGCTTTTCCAGTGTGCACTGGTTGTAGCTTTCTGCATATGAGCTCACTTTCTCAGATTTCCCTCTTAATGAGCAATGATTTTAGATTGGCAGAAATTGCACATTCCCTTCTGAAGCTGGCACCTTATGACACCCAGACAATGGAGAGCCGTGGGCTCCGGCGATACATCATGGAGATGCTGCCCATCACTGACTGGACGGCCGAGGCAGTGAGGCCTGCCCTTATTCTCATCTTAAAAAGACTGGATCGTATGTTCAATAAAATTCACAAGATGCCTACTTTGAGGTAAGCAGGTAGGATGGAAATCTATGGGGGTCTGTTTCTGATGTTGCAAGCCTCGAAGGAAGGGTTTGTCTTTTTATTGACAGTGTTTTGCTGCACTGAACTTTCATAGCAAAAAGAAGAGATTTTTTTCTTCTATTAGTGTAGGTACATGTGAACATATTTGAATGCAACAATCAAGGGAATGCATCTTTTATTTTAAAAAATCTCAACAGAAATTATTCAAATGTAGCATCCTGATCAAAACAGGTATCCACCACTGAGATTTTTTGTTGCTTTTGTAATGTTTATAGTCACAGGAAATTAGAGTTTAACAGAATTAAGCATATATGATTATAAACACTGTAAAGCTGGATGTGCAATTTATTGTAAGCCTGTCTGCATCTAAATATAGGATTTTCTTTTAAATATAGAAAACATAAGAGATGCAGGAGGTTAATCCCTCTGAATATTAGAAAAGTAATCAGTGGTTCTGTTTTATATTGTGAAAGAAAACTGTAGCTGCTTTGTCGTTCTTGAGCCAGTTGGTTTTTCTGCATCATTAACCTGTTGATCACAAAGGCATGTTTTTCTGTCATGTTTTAGTTGTAGCAGCTTATCACAGCCTTGGATTGTGTGCACACACTGGATTTTGAAGGATTTTTTGAGAAAGTGTATGGAAAATCTTAGGATCTTTTGAATAGAGGTATTTGAAGTAGGATCTGGCCCAACAAAGTTTATATTACAATATATCTGTTAAATTTCAAAGTGTCACAAAACTTTTGTTTCCCCTGCTTCAAAGAAATTCTTCTAAGTGTAGGTTAAATGCTTTATACATTTGATATATTTGTTTCTTGATAAATTATTGCTTGTGAGCAAAGATCCATATCAAGACTGCCCTTTTCTCTCTTTCCCAATGAAATAAAATAAACATCCTCCTTTCCTCTCATCTTATTTCTTGTAACTTATCAAAAGGATGCTGTTGACAGGAAGTTTCTGTTTGTACTGTTTCATCTATTTTTTTCAAATCTTGGCTGTGTTTTTCTAGTTTTATCTCCTAAGCCCTAAAAAACAACCTGGAATCTTTAATGGCTCATTCCTTTCCCTGTATGACATGTCAAGCAAGACAAGCTTAGCTGCTATATTTTCCTTACTGTAACTGTAAAATCATCACCATTTCTTGCTTCCATATAGCCTGACATGCCTGATCCTGCCTAATACTGAGAGCTAAGCAGGGTTGAACCTGGTTGAAATCTGGATGGGTGACTTAATGTTGTGAACCATCCAGAGAGCAGTATAGAAATGTAATGAATAATAACAATAATAGATGAGGAAGAAAAGGAGTCAGGGCACAATGGCATTTGCTGGATTTGGAAATCTTTCCTGACTTCATAAACTATGATTTACAAATCTTAGTGAACATTGGAGCCAAGTGTTCCTCCCTTCCCCCACTAACTTTTGATGTTCTTCTTGGCTTGCATTAGGCCAGAATTCTTTGTAACAGCTAAACAATAGAATTCTGTTTTAATCTTAGCAAACTAAGTTGGATAAGAAAATAGCAGATCCTCATTACACATCCTCAAAACTATTTCTTCCCATGGTCTGATTCCATATTAATGTTTCCATGATGCACCCAAATACTAATCTCTGGAGAATTTTAGATTTTTCTACCTTTCCAGAAGTCCATGAGCAAATTTTGGGGTTCTCTATTTCCTTTAACTATCATGACATGGGAATAGAATCTACAAGATTGAATTCTGGAAGAAATATGCGACTTCTGGGTGCTCTAAATTTCCTGAAATACTTTTCAAGGCATGGGCAAGGAAAGAAACCTCATTCTTGATGAACAAAGACTAGGGTTATAACTACTTGGAAAGGGTGATTATGCATTCTGTTCATGTCATTGGAGATACAACAGTAGTTGTATCTCCAATGACATTGGAACCGGCTTAAGTTGTCATTTAAATTCACCAAACAAGGGCTTTTGTTCAGAATATTGCAAATTCAGAATATACCTCTGCAATTTATCCAGTCACATTAAAATCTGCCAGTTTACTTAGAAAAATAATTATATATTATTCTTACAGTATTGTTATCATTGCATTCTACCTTTTCTTTCATATTATGACTGTTCTGTATATGCAGGTTGAACATCACTAAAGACATGCCTAGCGATCAGTGTTTTTACATTTGTTAAGTACTGAAACATGCTTGCTGCTGTCTAATTTTACATGCAGAATAGCCACATGCAACAGTATGTTCCTATGGAATAATGTTTCTGATAGATTCTGGTGCAGAGCAAAATTTACAGTGATTTTTTTCAAAGAGATTTGAAGCCACAATAGGCCTACAGTTTTAGATCTCTGTTCTACAGAAAATAAACTTTGAAATCAAGGTAGGAGAAGCACAGAACTGCTGTCTATAGACAGTGCCTGTTATGACCAATTCACCAGACTCCATGTTCTTTATTTGACATACTGTGTTACTGTAAGGTGCTCTCAGTGGCCCATAATGAAAATTTAAGGCAATAGCACAGTGATAAACTATGGATTGCTCAGTCAACTTGCCTGTCAGCCTTTGATGAAGATAATGGAAATAAGAACTTCATTGAGCACTGATAGGTGAGCTATAGTGATGGGAATGAGCTCACCACCACATTACTGTGTGCTACCTTCCAGCCAACAGAGAGCTATGGAAATCACTGGCTTTATAATGGCCCTTTGCCCAACCATGTATTCTATCCAAATACACATAGCTTACCAAAACATGAAGAATGTTGTCACACTATAGACAGATGCAAAAGGTTCTTCTGTGTCTCACATGTACTCAGAAGTGTTCTGAAGGGGAGTCTTTGAAGTTCAGAAGATTAACTTAAAGAGGTTGCTGAAAAGGGAGAAGAAATGCAAATTCTTATTGTTACAGTATTTCTTTGCTGGATTTGTCTGAAAGCAACCAATTAGCATCATGCTTTCTGGGTGGCTGCTAGAATAAAAATACTGATATTAACAATAAGTAAAATATTACTATTAAAATATCAGAATAAATAAAACAACAACTGTAATATGCATAGTCAAGTAAAATTAAAACATAAATTAATATATTAAAATCTGTGCATAATATTGATAATCTAAGTGGTGCCATAGGTGTGCCAAAAAAGAAAAGTTTTTGTTAGGCACTTGAAGCTCAACAAGGTAGGTGCCTGACTGAATCTCAAGTGGTAGAGTGTTTTATAATTATGCTATGGTCACATGGGGAACAAATTTCTCAGACTATTAAGTTCTAAAAAAATAGCAATCTCAATACAAAGATGGCTTGTTGAAAAGCCTCAGCAACCTGGTCTCTTTCCAAAAACCAGTCATGAACTGAAACATGCATCTTCATATGCGCAGTGCTGATCTTTGTCACTGTTTCTCACTGTGGTTGCTATGATTATTATTTCTTTTCTTTTCTTTTTTGTATCATTAGTTGAGCATCAGGTCCAGTTTTCTGTAATCTGCAATTTCTTTTGCACCTCTGCTTTTTTATACCATGGGTATAATACCCACATTGTAAAGTGGATTGTTGCCATAAACATTCCTTGGTGTCACTCTGTGTCAGTCACCTTGTTGCAGGGTTCTGGTGGAGCCAAAGACCTAATGCCACCTACTGTTGTGTTCCAGGCGACAGGTTGAGTGGGAACCTGCCAGCAATTTGATTGAAGGGGTTTGTTTGACACTTCAGAGGCAGCCAATCATATCCTTCCTGCCTCATCTTAGGTCACTGATCAATGTCTGTGTCAACCTGGTGAGTAGCCAACTCTGCAGTCTCCTGCAAATCTGCTAAGCTTCCTTCTGCACTAGAGACTTCCATGGAATGACTCTTTAGCCAGTTGTCCTACTCATAAAAATAAGATCCTCCAGTGATACTAGAAATAGCGGAGTACATTTTCAGAGTGGTGCATGGGGAGAGGACAGGAAAGGAGCCCATAGTCTAGTGACTGGTTTTTGCTACTTTCCACACACCACTTTGAAAATCTATTCCTGTATGTTGCGTCGAGAGTTGAGGGCTGCAAGTTGGAGAGTGGGGTGGTGGATACTGCACACACCTGGTAGAGGAGTTAGGAGGGAGGTGGGGGAGGCTAGAGACAAATTCATGGAAAAATTAATTAAAATAAACCACACAATTATTATTGCTCTGCAAAAGGGCATCAATAATTGACTTGACCAGAAAATTGCTGGCATAAATTTGCTTTGGCATCTGTAATGTCCATAGTCTAAAGTAAGTTTGGGATTTTCTTTTTTTGGGTACAATGTTCAGATCCTTCTGTCACTTAGCAATATTGTTACCTGGATTGTAGTTTAATTTCCACTAGGGAATATCCTAATCAGAAAGGTTTTACCTGGTGATCCAGTTTGCATGCATAGAACCAAATGGTGATCCAGTGTGCTAGAACCAAATTGTGGACTTGACCATGAGAGACAATGAAATTTCAGAATTAGAGCATTCTACATTGCATGTTTTGATATAAAAATCATGCCTTCAGACAGTATATAAAATTTGGTTTCTTGTCAGGAAATTTTTGCAAAGTTTTTAGATTAGCTTTGTTAGATTTTACTTTATTTTTCTTGGTTTTGCAGCTTAATGTAAAAATGAATAAATGGAGATACTTCCTATAAACTAGGAATGGGGATCCAGTAAAATGTGGAGAACCACATATTCTTTTTCTTGCACTATACATTTAAAAATACCCTTGCACTACACACTTACATACACTGCTGGATTGAATTTACTGGCATTGTATCATAGGTTAGAATCATATTACTTATATGCAGAAAAAGCTTCAGAAAGTGCTTTAACTGGTACTGCAAAGGATTTTGCATTTAAATTACCTTCTTCATGCAACATTAGATAACACACAGAACTCAGTCAAAGATGTACAGATAGCTGAATTTGGAAAGAAATTAAGAGAAATTTGTGGAGGACAGGTCTAGCAATGGATATTAATCATCATGGCTAAATGGAGCCAGGCATGATGTACTTCTGAATGCCAGTTGCTAGGCGGTACCCTGCTGGAAGGCTTTCTGGAAGCTTCGGACTAGTGGACTATTGAAAATGATACTGGAGTAGATGGATCCATGTTCTGACCCAGCAGGGCTCCCACAACGCCCTTTGTTGCTTGAAAGTTATCAAGTCTATTTAATCAGCCAGCTGGCTCCCCATTCCCCCAAGTCATAGAAAATACTGACTCATTCTTTTACAGGGTGCTTCCTTGTGAAAAGAAATATAGGAGCTTTTCTATGTTGTGTTTGTTTATAATATGAAGCTGGGAAACAGACACAAAGTAAGTTACTTCTAATCCTCCAACCAGCACTAATGCAGCATCACAGTATCTTAGGAAGCTATTTCTGCTGCTTAGAAACTTCTAGCAAGATTGACATGTATTCAGATTGATATACAATTGTTCAGAAGAAATATTGTTTCAACCTGCACCTCGGCGGGTTGGGTGTGCCACAAATTCCAGTAGTTTGGAATAGCTGCTGGACACTAGTAATGTGTTCTGTTGTACCCTGTGTGAAACTGAGCTATATAAAAGCCTTACAGAGAAGTTCAAAAGCACATTAACAGCTTTAATTTTGAATTAAAATCTTCTGATTCCATTGAATCTTCCCTCAAACTTAATCTTAAAAATAATAATACAGGAGAGTTTGAACATTGTATCATGCCTAGTTTGTGTCAGACTCAGGACATTACCACACTATAAGAAGGGGACAGCTGAAGCCAACTAGAAACATGGTGTTTTCAGTACCTTTTTCCATTGAATACAGTAGCTACATGGCATACCCTCCAACCTTGCCTATTTTACCAGTACGGTGCTGGTTATGCAGAGCTAGTGCTGCATACATTTTTCAATGTGCTGGTTTTCCCTATTCCTTCTGTCCAGTCCCTCTGGCTAACTCTGCAACAGTCCCTTATCCTCCCTACCCGCTTCCTGCTAGAAGCATGCCTTTCTCTTCTCCGCCCCAGCTACCGCAAGACACTGTGGAGAGCTCACAAATGCAGAGCACCCAGTCTTGCGCTACCTGAAGCTCATCAACACTGGAGGGTATGGCATGGATGGAATTGCAATAGTTGGTCAAGGTGATGTGCTGTGTTTGTATTGCAGGTGATGGGAGTGGTAGGACCTTCCAGTGTGGCCGATGGATTACCCCTTCTTCATCTCAGCCCTTATCTCTCGCCACCTCTACCCTTCAGCACAGCTGTTGTCCGGCTTGTAGCATTGCAGATTCAGGTGTGACTGCCTTGCCTGTTAAGCAGGCTTTGCTTATCATGTGGTTGAGACGCCTATTCATTGGTGCTCTTATGTTTTCTGCGAAAGCTGGGCAAAAACTGTGAAGCAAAGTGTTAACTTTCCCACAAATATGCTAAGGTTTGGAACTTTAGCAACTGTCCAGTTCTTCAGCAGGTGCCAGTTTAGCATAGTCCCCCATGAAGTCACTTTGGGACTATGCAGGTTTAAACCAACTGAAGAACTGACACCAAAGATCATTGTACTTCTTAGAAAATGTAGATAGGTAAATCATTGCTGGTGCTTCACTTTAGAAAAAGAGGTCTTAAAGAGGTGAAGCAACAGGACTTCCATAGATCATAACTGTGCAGGCAGTGGAATTTTGTATAGCTCATGCAACATATGAAAAGATTAAATCTATTTACATTGTGTTGCTTTCTGTGTATCTGAAATTCAACTATTTTTCCATTCTATCTGATGGAGAGTTCTGTATAATTTCATATTTTGCATGTCTCCTCACAAACAATTCACTGAGAAATTGCTTATCTGTTTTATAAGTCAGGATTTCTAGTAACAAACAGAAGATGTTCTTTATTTTTTTCTGAGATTAATTCTTCCTGTCCATTGTTATCAAAATATATTTGTTGTTGCTGTGGGTCATCTGGTTCCTGGATCAGGGTCAGGTGAACCCTGAAAATAGTGAAAATCACAGATTGGTTGGTTTTTTTCTTCTAATTATCATATACCATCTTTTATTATTTTCACTAGTGGAAATACAGTAATATTGCCAAGTATTTTTGTTCTATATTGTATTGTTACTATTTTAGATAATGCAAACTGTGTGCTTTGGTCTCTTTGGCTTCTATACCTCTTTGTTGGTACCAAGGTGACAAAGGTACTCAATTACTAAATGTTGCTGCATGTTTTCTGCCCCTATTTCATGTCCAGCCAATTTCCTTACTGTAATGGCTTTGTTACAATATGATGCATGTAGATTAGTGTACCTGTGGAATGATGCAGTCTTACTCCAGTCTAACTAATAAACAAGTGGGAAGATGTGTTTGCCAGTGTGAGGAGACAGAGTGGGACTTTTTGGAGTCTTGTGAGAGGGTATGTTGATACAAGATAGGAGGGAATAAAAATCAAAGAACAAAACAGGAATGAGTAGGTGCAAGAATGGTCTTGAAGAAAGAGTCAAGAAAGTTGTCTGTAGCATACATTGACCAAAAGTGGCCTGAGCTCTGGAAAGGTTTTAAACACATATACACTTCACTATTGTATCTTTAACTTCAGTAGAATTAGCTGTGTTAGTCTGAAGCAGCAGAAATATTCACCTTCATTGCACTTCTTCCATGTTTAGCAGCATACTCATAGCAAATAACTTTGCAGTTCGAAAATAGTAATTGGAATTTGGAATATTCATATAATCATGTAAAATGGAAAAGTTTGGTACCTTTTTCTTGTACCATTAAGTTGCAGAATTATTAGAAATGCCTTCCTTTTAAGATTCAAGTTATTTGAAGATTCATTTATTTCACGTATAAATACTGAATAAATTCAAGTCACAAATAAGTATTAAAGAAGAGCTGGCACATGTAAGTTTGAGTTTCAGTCTCTGAGGGCGCAGTTCCATGGGTTGTGCCCCCAACAGACAAATGTTTCTAATGTTATTATTTTTTTTATTATAACATTTCTATGCCGCCCCTTGCCGAAGCCTCGGGGCGGCTTACACCACAATAAAATACATTGAAATAAATAGAACATAATAAATTACCACTAAATACAAAAATACAAAAAATACACTGAGATACAAACATAATAATATAAAATTAAAATTAACAGTATAAAATAAGTAAATAAAGAATATAGGAGGGGAAAAGAGAAGGAAGAAGAAGTTGCCCTGGCCAGATCATATATTTTAACAATTAAAATGATGTTTAAATAAAAAGGTCTTTACCTGGCGCCGAAAAACCAGTAATGACGGTGCCAGGTGAACGTCTTTGGGGAGTGAATTCCATAGGTTGGGCGCCACCGCAGAGAAAGCCCTCCTCCGAGTACTTACCCTCCTAATTTCTTTCATGGAGGGTTCCCGGAGAAGGGCCTCTCCCGCAGATCTCAAGGGGCGGTCGGGCATATACGGACGTAAGCGCTCGTTCAGATAGCCAGGACCCAAGCCGTTTAGGGCTTTATAGGTCATAACCAACACCATGAATTGGGCCCATGCTTCAATGGGAAGCCAGTGAAGCTGACGGCCAGGCAGGACAAGAGGACAAGAGAATGCAGAAAGGAGCCAGACGAGCCTCTGAGATGCAAGACTGTATTTTTTCCACCATGCTCGTCCTCTATGAGTGCAGAGGAGAATCACTACATACCTTCAGGTGCTGTCTAGGAGCCATAGGATTATTTATTTTATTTATTTATTAAAACATTTTTATGCCGCCCCATTCGCCGAAGCCTCGGGGCGGATTACTCCCTTATAGTTTCATCTGAAATATGTCCTGACTCCCTGAAAGATGCCAAGTCCTGCTATTAATCTTTGACATTTAGCAAAGGGGTTTTTTATTTTACTAAATGGAGCAAGCAAAGCAATACCTCCAGAATTTGCACTTAGGAGAAATGCAGTGCATTTTAAAACCTAAAAATATTTCTCTTCTAATATTTTTCCTCAGATTTTTATTTATTTAGTTGACTACTTTTAGACTTTGACCTCACTTTGGTTTACACAGGTAGCTATCAATGAATGGCTCAGTGAGAAGTTATGTAGGATTTAAAAAGATGTAAATGAAATCAAAATCTTGGGTATTTGGCCACATGATTGTGCTTAAATGAGAATCTGCCTCATTGCATAGGTGTCATCCAAGCATATGCACTCATTAAGATATGGACACAGTATTTTTCTGTGGGGTGTTATATAAATGAAGTGTTTGGGAATCCCTTTTCAAACATATTCTTTACCCCTTATAATCTGCAAGTAAAATGATTTAATTATTTTTTTTATTATCACTGCACAGGCATTGAAAGAAGATTTCCCCTTAAGCCATGTGATCTCCCCATTCACCAATCAGGAGAGAAGGGAAGGAATGCTTTTAAACCTACTGATCCCATTTGTGCTCACAGTAGGATCAGGAAGCAAAGGTCTGATTAACAGAAAGATTCTTCTGTTTCCCCTTCCCTGTTGCCTCTCCAAAATAGCAAATGCTTGTGCTTCCTTCCACCTCTGTGTTTCTTTTGCTATACACGTTCTTTCAGTGGTGTATTGTCAGTAGGGCTTCTTGGGAATGATCTGCATAAGGAAATTGGTGTTGTGGTGTCCTTCTCTCATTTCAGCTATGTTTTCTGAACTCACTCTTTGGCAGAGGAGCTCCTCTTTTTGAGATCAGAACAATGAATGTCGGAGCATGCCGGAGAAAGCAAAAATTCACCTGTGTGTAAGAAAGAAATGGGAAGGGACAAGAAAACTCTGTAGCTTCCACCTTGCCTATCCTTCACCCAGTTCCATGCTACTTGTGTTAATTAAAATTCTGTTATTGAATCTACACTTTGCAGTATGGCCTGTTTTTCTCTGAAGGGCTCATTCACACTTGCAGCTTAACCCTGAGCTAACAGTTTTGCTTGGTTTAGGGCAATCTCAGCTCATCAAGTGTTGATGCACTTGCCTTGGGGTTAGGAAGCCCAGTCAGGGTATAGTAAGTGGGGGTTTTATAGACCATGGTCAAGCCCAGTGTGAATTAGTCCTTGAGAGTCAAAAGCAATGAACAGTGTGGGGCTGGGGAAAGTACAGCAAGCAAGACTATATTGCTGACAAGCTGACATCAGGAACTATGTGTGTTCTGTTTGTGCTAGAATAACTTTGCCTTTTGCTTACAGGAGGAGAAGAGGGGATCAGGTTGGGTGTATAGAGTGTTCATATTTCAGTGTGGTGCTGAAAATGGCACCAAATCATTTCTGAGAATCGGGGCCTGATCGGCTATCTTTTCCCTTTGGTATCATGCAGACAGCCCTTGGCTGGAGCAGCCTGAAGTCCTCCTGCTGCTTCAGACTGTCATTAATATTTTGCTGCCACCTCGCATTATCAGCACGTCTCGCAGCAAGAATTTCATGCTGGAGAACTCCCCTGCCCACTGTTCCACACCAGGGGATGCAGGAAAGGACCTACGTAAAGAAGGGCTAGCTGAATCCACTAGCCAGGCAGCCTACCTGGGTGAGTGAAAGTTTCCACTTGACTACGAGATTTACTCCTTAGTAAGTGTGCAGAAGACTTCCATGTTTGGCTCTTTTGTCATGACCCACCCGCCACCTCACCTCAGGCCAGCTTAATGCAGCCTCCTAAAAGATAAGGAACTGACATTCTATAATAGTGAAGCAGTTAATGAAAATGGCATTATACCTTGTGCTACCAATACTACAGGGAAGGCATTACTGTTGGTTCTTGGAGATCAAGGAAAGCTGGAGAAGAGAATGTTCCTAAGGCACAAGTTATTTACAGATCTACATGTCAGAGACAGTAGCACACATGCTTTTGCTTCACTGCACAATAGTATTTTCCTCAAACAAGAGCTTGTGCTTTATGTAGAAAGGCTAGGGTGAGCATGCATATGGTGTTATCACTGTGAGCACCTTAATCCTTCTGACATTTTATTTCACTTTTAGCTCTGAAAGTGATCCTTGTCTGTTTTGAGCGGCAGCTTGGCAGCCAATGGTATTGGTTGAGTCTGCAGGTCAAAGAGATGGCCTTGCGAAAAGTAGGAGGGCTGGCCCTGTGGGATTTCCTGGATTTTATTGTCCGCACTCGAATTCCTATCTTTGTGCTTCTTCGACCCTTCATTCAGTGCAAGGTGAAGTCACTTCTAAAGTTACTTGCTTTTTCCTTGTGAACTGATACTACTAAATCACATGTACAAACCCTGTTGTAGAAAAAAAAGAATGTGACAATGCTATACAGAAGCAGCAGTCTTGAGTGTGAAAGTGTATTTCATGAATACTCAACAGCCTTGAATACTTCCATTTTGTCTTAAAGGATGAGCAGGAGACTTTTCAATGGTGTTGTACAAAATGCCTGGGAATCCCAGTTTTTACTAGCCCTGTAATAGAGAGTGCAGCAGTTCAAGCAGAATTATAGCTGATGAAATATGAAGCAGCCTTCTTCTGAGCCTGACAAAAGCTCCATGTGATCCATAGTGTCTGATCTGATGGGCATTGAGGTTCCAAAGTCAGTGCAAAGTCTTATTCGCACTGTGATTTAACCTGAGACCACATATAGTCTGAGTGGATGCTTAGCTGTCGTGCTGTAGCTCCTCTCCTAAATGCTGAATAAATAGTTTTATGGTGTCTGTCTGTTTTTCATGACTCTTCCCCACTGCCCCTCAACCCCAGTTGCTAGCTCAGCCAGCTGAGAATCATGAGGAACTAACTGCCCGACAGCACATTGCCGACCAGTTAGAACGGCGCTTCATCCCACGCCCTCTCTGCAAGAGCTCCCTTATCGCTGAATTCAACAATGAACTGAAGATCCTGAAGGAGGCTGTGCACAGTGGGTCAGGTGAGGACATGGGACAGGATAGGCATGGCAGAGTCAGGAGAGCAGGATAGGGTTAGGGTCACCATAGTTCCATAAAATCTGGGGAGCACAGGGACCTTTTGATCAACCCAAGGTGGTAAAGGGCCTTTTGTAATTCATGTTGTTGTTGTTAGTTGCGAAGTCACGTCCAACCAATCGCTACCCCAAGAACAACATTCCTCCAGGCCTTCCTGTCTTCCACCATCCCCAAGAGTTCACTTAAGCTCACACCAACTACTTCAGTGACTCCATCTAGCCACCTCATCCTCTGCCGTCCCCGTCTTCTTTTTCCATCAATTGTTCCTAGCACTAGGTTCTTCTCCAGTGAGTCCTTCCTTCTCATTAGATAGCCAAAGTACTTGAGTTTCATCCTCAGTATCTGGCCTTCTAAAGAGCAGTCAGGGTTGATCTCCTCTAAGACTGACTGGTTTGATCTTCTTGCAGTCCAAGGGACTCGGAGTCTCCGCCAGCACCACAATTCAAAGGCCTCAATCCTTCGGCGCTCAGCCTTCCTTATGGTCCAGCTTTCACAGCCATATATTGCAACTGGGAAAACCATAGCCTTGACCATATGCACTTTTGTGGGCAGAGTGATGTCTCTGCTTTTTAGTATGCTGTCTAAATTTGGCATAGCTTTCCTCCCCAGGAGCAAGCGTCTTTTAATTTCTTGGCTGCAGTTCCCGTGTGCGGTGATCTTGGAGCCCAGGAAAATAAAATCTGTCAGTACCTCCATTTATTCCCCATCTATCTGCCAGGAAGTGATAGGACTGGATGCCATGATCTTAGTTTTCTTAATGCTGAGTTTCAAGCCAACTTTTGCACTCTCCTCCTTCACCCGCATCAAGAGGCTCTTTAGTTCCTCTTCACTTTCTGCCATTAGAGTGGTATCATCTGCATATCTGAGGTTGTTGATATTTCTCCCAGCAATCTTAATTCCAACTGGTGATTCATCTAGCCCCACCCTTCTCATGATGTGCTCTGCATAAAAGTTAAATAGGCAGGGCAACAGTATACATAGAAACATAGAAACAGAGCAAGTCAGAAAGGGGCCTCCTGGACCATCTAGTCAGACCCCTGGCTCCAGACGGCTCCGCTAACGACATGTCTACCGTGTGCATGTCCAGCCTATCTTTGAACACTCTCACCAATGGGGCCTCAGTGACCTCTTGTGGAAGCCCATTCCACACCCTTGGGGTACTAACTGTCAGGAAGTGCTTCCTGGCATCTAAATGGAACCTTGGCTCCCTGAGCTTTGCTCCGTTGGAGCGCGTCCTACCCTCCTCTGCAGGGGAGAACAGGTCTCTACCCATTTCCATGTGATGTCCCCTCACATAACTGTATGTTGCCAACATATCCCCTCTGAGTCTCCTCTCCTCCAGGCTGAAGAGACCCATTTCCCTCAGTCTTGCCTCATACCCCGTCCCCTGCAAACCGGCCACCAACCTTGTGGCCCTACAATGTACTGACTCTAACCTGGCTATATCCTTTCTGTAATGAGGGGCCCAAAACTGAGCATAATACTCCAGTTGTGGGTGCACCAGAGTCATATAGAGTGGTAGTAATACCTCTTAATATACAGCCTTGCTGAACTACTTTCTCCATTTTGAACCAGTCAGTGGTTCATGTCCAGTTCTCACTGTTGCTTCTTGACCTGCATATAGGTTTCTCAGTAAACAAATAAGATGGTCTGGGACTCCCATCTCATTAAGAACTTGTCACAATTTGTTGTGATCCACACAATCAAAGGCTTTAGCATAGTCAATGAAGCAGAAGTAGATGTTTTTCTGGAATTCCCTAGCTTTCTGCATGATCCAGCATATGTTGGCAATTTGATCTCTAGTTCCTCTGCCTCTTCGAAACCCTGCCTGTACTTCTGGTAGTTCTCGGTCCACATACTGCTGGAGCCTAGCTTGTAGGAGTTTGAACATCACTTTGCTAGCACGTGAAATGAGTGCAATGGTGCGGTAGTTTGAACATTCTTTGGCATTGTCCTTCTTTGGGATGGGAATGTAAACTGACCTTTTCCAATATGCCAGTTTTCCAAATTTGCTGGCATACTGAGTGTAGCACTTCAACTGCATCGTCTTTTAGGATTTTGAAAAGCTCAGCTGGAATACCATTGCCTCCACTAGCTCTGTTGTTGCTTAGACTTCCTAAGGCCCATTTGACTTCACATTCCAGGATGTGTGGCTCGAGGTCAGTGACCATCCCATCATGGTTATCAGGGACGTTAAGCTCTTTCTTGTATAGTTCTTCTGACTAATCTTGCCACCTCTTCTTAATCTCTTCTGCCTCTGTTAGGTCCCTGCCATTTTGGTCCTTTATCATGCCCATCTTTGCATGAAGTGTTCCCTTCATATCTTCAATTTTCTTGAGGAGATCTCTGGTCCTCCCTATTCTATTGTTTTCTATGTTTTTGCACTGTTCATTTAAGAAGGCATTCTTATCTCTTCTAGCTATTCTCTAGAATTCTGCATTCAATTGGGTGTATCTTTCTCTTTCTCCCTTGCCTTTCGCTTCCCTTCTTTCCTCAGCTATTTGTAAAGCTTCCTCAGACAGCCATTTTGCTTTCTGGCATTTCTTTTTCTTTGGGATGGTTTTAGTTGCTACCTCTTGTACAATGTTGCAAACCTCCGTCCATCGTTCTTTAAGCACTCTGTCTATCAGATCTAATTCCTTACATCTATTTGTCACCTCTACTGTATATTCATCAGGGATATGATTTAGGTCATACCTGAATGGCCTAGTGCTTTTCCCTACTTTCTTCAATTTAAGCCTAAATTTTGCAACAAGAAGCTCATGATTTGAGCCACAGTCAGCTCCTGGTCTAGTTTTTTCTGACTGTATAGAGCTTCTCCATCTTTGGTTGCAGTGCACATAGTCAATCTGATTTCTGTGTTGACCATCTAGTAATGTCCATGTGTACAGTCGTCTCTTGGGTTGTTGGAAAAGTGTGTTTGCTATGACCATCGTATTCTCCTGATAAAATTCTACCAGCCTGTGCCCTGCTTCATTTTGTACTTCAAGGCCAAACTTGCCTGTTAATCCGGTTAACTTTTGGCTTCCTACTTTAGCATTCCATTCTCCCATGATGATAAGGACATCATTTTTGGTGTTAATTCTAGAAGGTGTTGTAGGCCTTCATAGAACCGGTCAACTTCAGCTTCTTCAGCACCAGTGGTTGGGGTATAGATTTCGACTACTGTGATGTTGAATGGTTTGTCTTGGATTCGAACTGAGATCATTCTGTCATTTTGGAGACTGTATCCCAGTACTGCTTTTCCTACTCTTTTATTGACTATGAAGGCTACTCCATTTCTTCTGAGAGATTCTTGCCTGTAGTAGTCTATCTAATGGTCATCTGAATTAAGTTCACCCATTCCTGTCCATTTTAGTTCGCTGATTCCCAAAATGTTGATGTTTAGGCTTGTCATCTCTTGTTTGACCACGTCCAGCTTGCCTTGATTCATAGATCTTACATTCCATGTTCCTATAGAGTATAGATCTTTACAGCATTGGACTTTCATTTCACCACCAGATACATCCACAACTGTGTGTGCTTTCAGCTTTGACCCAGTTACTTCATTCTTTCTGGCGCTACTAGTACTAGCCCTCTGCTCTTCCCCAGTAGCACATGGACACTTTCCAACCTGAGGGGCTCATCTTCTGGCGTCATATCTTTTTGCTTTTCATGGGGTTTTCATGGCAAGGATACTGGAGTGGGTTGGCATTTCCTTCTCCAGTGGATCACCTTTTGTCAGAGCTCTCTGCTATGACCTGTCCGTCTTGGATGCCCCTGCATGGCATAGTTCATAGCTTCATTGAGCTACACAAGCCCCTTCACCATGACAGGACAGTGATCCATGAAGAGGTTGTAATTCATAGAATTCTGCAATTAAAAGTACATTCTAAAGGAAATTATTTTCTCACTTTACCAACATTGCTAATAGTTGAGAATCATTCATAAGAACATAAGAAAAACTGTGCTGAATCAGGCCAAAGGTCTCGTCAGTCCAGCACTCTGTGCACACAATGGCAAACCAGCTCTGCACAGGATTGCCCAAGAAGGATGGGTGTAAGGTTCCCAGCTGTCCAAACTCCTCAGCAATCAGTACATGCAGGCATGCCACCCCTGGCAAAGGAAATACTTCTTCATATAGCAAGCTCCTGCTATATAGCTCCTGCTATATCTGCTCCTCACAGGGAAGTTGAGGCCTGATCTTTTTTGTTGCCTTTCTCTTTTCCAACTGAATAATGTCCTTATGCAGGTAAAGCAACCAGAATGGAACACAATATTCTAAGTGTGGTCATACCAAAGATTTGTAGAAGGTGGTGGGGAGGGTGGGGGTGAGATACTGACAGTTCTATTTTCTATCCCATTCCTAATTATGCCTACCATGGAGTTTGCCTTTCTTACAGCACCTGCACATTAGACCAACATTTTGATTGAGCTTGTCATTACTACTGCAAGAACCCTTTCTTGCTCAGATCAGTGTATACTTTTAAAGTTGGGATTTTTTTGCCCCTACATTTACACTTTACACTTGCTTACATTGAACTGCTTTGCCATTTTGATGCCCATTCTCCCAGCTTGGAGAGATCCCTTTGGAGCTCCTCAGAATCCCTTTTTTAACCCCACTAATAGTGTCATCAGCAAAGTTGCCCACTTTGCTACATACTCCTAATTCCAGATCATTTATGAACAGGTTGAAAAGTATTGGTCCCGATGCAGAACCCTGCAGGTTTCCAATGGTGATTGGAGAAATTGCCATTTATTTACACTTGCTGTCTTTTAAAGAACAGAAGACAGGTAGTAGTCCATAAGAGGACCCCAGCTTTAATTCCATGACTGTACAGTTTGCCTTTGGTGAAGAACTTTGTCAGAAGCCTTTTGGACATCCAAGTAAAAAATGTCTATTGAATTGCTCCTATGTGTTTATTGACACTCTCAAAGAAGTCCAGTAAGTTAGGAAGCCGTGCTGATTGTTTTTCAGCAGGGTGTGTCCCTTTACGTGCTTACTGATTCAATTTATAATAATGCTTTGAAACAGTATAGTCATACAAATGTTGGAAACAGCCTATGCTTAGTGCAGCCATTCGTCCATCCAGCTCTATGTTGCTGAGGTGGGGTAGTACTGGCTCTCCAGGTCTACACGCAGAAGTTTTTCCAGTACAAGCTAGAAAAGCTGCCATGTATCCAGTCTGAGATCTTCTGTATAAAGAGAATGTGACCCACCAATGAACCATGGTCCCTTTCCTCCTTTTGCTCTTTCTAAAGGTTGTGGTCGAAACAGAGCAATTGTTTCTTGATAAGTCATCTTTGCTTTTGTCTTCAGCCTACCAAGGAAAGACTTCTATCAGCACTGTGGGCACTTCCACCTCTGCCTATCGCTTGAGCCTTGCGACCATGTCACGCTCCAACACTGGCACAGGAACTGTCTGGGAACAGGACAGTGAGCCTTCCCAACAGGCTTCCCAGGATACTTTAAGTCGGACAGATGAAGAAGATGAAGAAAGTATGTGCTAATTACCATAGGTCTGATTGTCGCCAATCTATCTGGTTAAATTCAGATATGTCTCAATCATGCAAAAGGCAGGGAGTAGAAATGATGGGGGCATGCAAGTTTAAGAGCAAGCAATGTACTAGGAAGATGGGCAGAGTAGCCACCTGCCTATGGCCTACTTATCTTTTGATTTAACATGTATTTATATATTTGAAGTATTCTAAAGCCATGAAGGCTCCTAGAACAGCTTACATAAAATCAGGAAGGACAAGACAGTCCTTGTCCACAGGTTTAAAATCTAGTTAATACAGCACAAAAGGGGATGATGTAGGAAGATGAAACATAGAAACATAGAAACAGAGTAAGAAGGGACCTCCCGGGCCATCTAGTCTGACCCCCAACTCCAGCCAGCTCCACTCACAACATGCCCACCATGGGCATGTCCAGCCTACCTTTGAACACCCTCACCGATGGGGCCTCAACAACTTCTGGTGGAAGCCCATTCCACACCTCAGGGTCCTAACTGTCACGAAGTGCTTCCTGGCATCCAAATGGAACCTTGGCTCCCTGAGCTTTGCTCCGTTGGAGCACGTCCTGCCTTCCTCTGCAGGGGAGAAGAGGTCTCTACCCACCTCCATGTGACATCCCCTCACATACCTGTATGTCGCCAACAGATCCCCTCTTAGTCTCCTCTTCTCCAGGCTGGAGAGAACCAGCTCCCTCAGTCTTGCCTCATATGGCATCCCCTGCAAACTGGCCACCAACCTTGTGGCCCTACGCTGCACTGACTCTAACCTGGCTATATCCTTCCTGTAATGAGGGGCCCAAAACTGAGCACAATTGCGGGCACACCAGAATCATATAGAGCGGTAGTAATAGCTCTCTCAATCTAGAATGCAACCAAGGGTGACATTCGCCCTCTTGATCACTGCATCACACTACTGACTCATGTTTAGCCTTCAGTCAACCAGCACCCTGAGGTCCCTTTCACAAGTGCTGCTCTCCAGCCACTTGTCCCCTAACCTGTACTTATGACACCCATTCCTATGCCCCAAGAGCAAGACCTTGCACTTATCCACATTGAACGCCATCCTGTTGTCTCCTGCCCACTTCCATAGTCTGTCCAGATCTTTTTGGATCTGGAGTACCTCCTCCTCAGTTGTGGCCACTGCTCCAGTTTTAGTATCGTCTGCAAATTTGATCAGGAGACTGTTCACCCCTTCTTCCATGTCATTGATGAAGAGATTAAACAGGATTGGCCCCAGGACAGAGCCCTAGGGGACCCCGCTTGTCACTGGCCACCATCTCAATGATTCCCCACTAATGGTTACTCTCTGTTTTCAGTCAGTCAACCATGCCCTAATCTATCAGACAGTGCTTTGATGTATCCCAAAGCTCCTTAGTTTCTCAACCAGGATATCATGGGGCACTTTAGAAAAGGCCGTGCTGAAATCCAGGTATACCACATCCACTGCATCCCCTCCTTCTAGCCATCTCGAAACCTTGTTGTAGAATTCTACAAGGTTTGTCTGGCAGGACCTGTTTTTGCAGAAGCCGTGTTGTATGGCTGTCAGCCTCCCTTCCCTAGCTAGCATCACTAGATCTCTCTTTATTATGAGCCTTTCCATTGTTTTTCCTACAATGGACGTAAGGCTAACTGATCTGTAATACCCCATGTCCCTTCTACTACCCTTCTTGAAAATTGGGACCACTGATGCCACCCTCCAGTCCTCTAGAACTTCACCCATTCTCCACGAGGCCTCAAAAATGGAGGCCAGCGGGCATGAGAGAACCCCTGCCAACTCTTTAAGTACTCTCGGGTGTAACCCGTCAGGGCCTGGCACCTCTGTAACGTCCAATGCCCTGAGGAGCCCCTCGACTTCGAAGGGGTTTACTCTAATCTGTGTCCCTAAGTCCCCGGCCTCATCTAATCTCCTATGCAGATCTCCCCTGTCCTGCTTTGGGGAGAACACAGAGGCAAAATAGTCATTTAGCATCTGTGCCTGTTCCCTCATATCAGTCATTGGATCTCCTTCCTCCTTATTTAGTGGTCCCACCACTTGTCTCCCCTTCCTCTTCCTATTTACATGCTGAAAGAAGCCCTTTTTGTTGCTCTTGATATTCTTGGCAAGTCTCAGCTCGTAATCAGCCTTAGCCTTGTGAAGAATCCTTCTGCAACGGGCCTCCTCCTCCTGGTATACCCTTTTGTCTATTTGCCCCAGTACCCATTTCCTATGGAGGTTCCTCTTTCGTCTAATCCCTCTAACTACCTCCTTTTGCATCCATGGTGGTGCTCTCCTTCCCCTCCCTGCCTTACTAACTAGAGGTATCGTCAAGGCTTGCGCCTCCAAACCTCCCTTTTGAGTGCTATCCACCCCTCCTCAACTCGCTTACCTTCCAGTAACCTATCCCAGGAGACTTTCCCCAGCCTGGCCTTCAGTTGGCCCTCTTGAAGTCCCAGCTTCTAGTGCTTGACCTGCTGTATGTCCCCAGTTCCCTGATCTCAAAGCAAAGGATGGAGTGATCACTTGCATCCAGAGCTCCCCTAATCTGTACTTCATCTATCAGCTCCTCTCTATTGGTCAAGAACAAGTCAAGGATGTTTCCCCCCGTTGCCTCTTGGACCCTCTGTGTGAAAAACCTTCCCTCTATAGCTTTCAGGAAGCGACGTGACCTGGCTGTCACCGCTGAGTGAGTCTCCCAACTAATATCCGGGAGATTGAAATCTCCCATAATTACTGTGTCTCTCCCCTGAAATATCCTTAGAATCTGGCCTGTCAGGACATCATCCAGGGTCTCAAGTTGACCTGGAGGGTGATAACATACCCCCACTGTCAGGTCTCTTTCCCTGTCAAAACCCCTAAGTTTCACCCAGACTGCCTCTGCCGAATCCCTATCTGTGCTGCATTCTATCTCACTGCATCCTATCCCTTCCCTGATGTATAAAGCCACGCCCCCACCCCTCTTTCCCTTCCTGTCCTTTCTAAAAAGATGATACCCCTCTATGTTCACATTCCAATCTTGCCTTTCATCCCACCAAGTTTCTGTGATTCCCACCAGGTCATACCCCCCTATTCCCAGGAGAGCTTCAAGCTCTTCCTGCTTATTACCCATGCTCCTAGCATTAGTGTACATGCACCTCAACTCCTTCCCACCGCCTCCTTTCCTTGGAGTCCCCAGCCTCCTCCTTCCTCCCATCCTCCTTGGTACCTGACCCCTTTCTGTAGGAGTCCTGTCAGTCCCTACAATACTTCAAAAACCCTGCTCCCAGACCCCCGATCCTCTCCTCACACTTGTCCAGTGCAGACATGTTTCTGGGGGGCCTGAACCTCCTCCCCTCCCAGCTCAGTTTAAAGTCTTCTGTATGAAGCTCACTAGAGCATCTCCAAAGGACCTTTTCCCCATCCTTGTGAGGTGCAACCCGTCCCTTGCCAGAAGCCCATTGGCAAGAAACCGGGTGCCATGGTCAAGGAACCTGAAGTGTTCCTTCTGGCAACACATCTTAAGCCAGTTGTTCACCTCGGAGACCCTCCTGTCCCTGCCTGGCCCAAATCCCCGAACCGGTAAGATCGACGAGAAGGCCACTTGGGCCTTTAGCTCCCTGACTTTCTTCCCCAAGGCCTCGAAGTCCCTGGTGATCCCATCCACAACCTGCCTGGCTGTGTTGTTTGTGCCCACATGGATCACCAGAACTGGCTGGTGACCTCTGGAGCGAACAAGATGCTCCACTCTATCCTTCACATGCTGGATGCATGGGCCTGGCAGGCAGCAAATCTCCCTCGTCTCCAGGTTGGGGTGGCACACCACCGCCTCAGTGTCCCTCAGCAGGGAGTCCCAAACAACAATCACCTGCCACCATGTCTTCCCGGTGGTGGTGGGCGGTCGTGCCCTGGCCCTCGCCTCTCCTGCCCTTTCCTGCTGATCCCCCAAGGCCTCATCAGCCTCAGCCTCCCCAAGCAGAGAGAACCTGTTTCCCAGCTCCAGATTGGTGCCAGGAGAAGGAGGAGGCCGTGCTGGCCTCCTCCTCCTGTGGGTGACATGCCTCCATGTCTCCCTGGCTGCTCCTCCCGTGGCGTCTCCCTCAATCCTCTGTCCAGAGGAGGGTTGCTCCTGGGGGGCCTGGAGAGCTCTCTCAGCTCTCAGGCACCTCACCTCCTCCCCATCTTGCACCGAGGGCAAGTGTAACCCTGCCTCTCCTGGGGGAGAAGGGCGAACATGCCGCGGCTGTCGCAGTGGAGAGCAACACCCGTGACTCCTGCCAAGGTCATCTCCTGGTCTGCCATTTGGATTCCTTTGAGACCTTACCTTGGTCCCCCGCCTTGTCTGTCCTGCAGTACCCCTCACTCGCCCAGTTCTCCCAGACAAAAACCCACACACACAAGCATAAATTTTAATTGGAGAAAAAACAAAGGAAAGCAAAGCACAGCACAGCACAGCACCAAAAAACCAAACCAAAACAAACTAACAAAAACAAAGCAATAAAAGAAAAACAAAACCCTCGGCCCCCCAAGGAGGGGAATCCCCAGGCTGCCTGGGCTGCAGCTAAGGGATGCAGACAAGGGACTATGCATTATCAGCCCCTCAGGCCGGTGGCCCCGCCCCTCTGCTCCCTCCTGGCCCCTCTAGCCTCTCTGGCCCCGCCCCCTCCCTCTCCGCTGCTCCTGGCCCTCTGCACCTCTGCCCAGCTCCTGCCTTGCCTTTGCCGGTCCCCTGGCCACTCAGCCCTCTCTCCCAGCCTGTGCCTCTGCTGCTCTGCCAAGAGGCAAGAGCCAAAAGGGAAATCATGCATCAGTTTTAAAACTTGCACAGGGGTTTTAATGGTGACTAGCTAAAATGGGAATGGTTCAGAAGGAGGAATGTTGGTACCCTGGTGTGGATATTCAGTGGCTAATGCTGGAACACTGGGACCAGCATGTTGGAAAGGGATGGAGGTTGCAAGATATTAGACGGGCAGAGGCAAAGGCAAGTGCAAGTACAGGTTGAAATCACTACCAATGAGACAAGCAGGGACAGAACCAAGCAAACACAACAGGTCCAGAAAAAAGGTCAAAGAGGAGCGCAGAAACATGTCGCACAGTGCAGAAACATCATGCAAGGTAGCGCAGGGTCAGGAACAAGGCAAAGTCAGGGAGGACAAGGAATATATAGGTGGAGTCAGACTGAAGTCAAGACTGGAAGCGGGACCAGAGCATAACATAGTCAAGCACGAATGCTCACATTGCTGTGGCAAAGTTGAGTAGCACAGGGAAGGCTTTGATAGAACCTTCTAGGGCTTCTGGTTTTACTACATGATTGTCAGGCTCTGATTCCTGCAAGTTCCTACAGGAGTGCCCCTGGTTCTACAGGCATTTGCACGGTGAATTGTGCTGTTTGCCACCAGGGGAGCAGTGGCCAGGCTTCAAATCCTGACACAGAGGAATTGACTGGAGCTGGTATCTCAGCAGAGTTAACTAAGTAGTCCAGTTTCCCATCTTTCCTCCGATTGCAGCCTTCTATTGAGGCCTAAGGCAATAGCTGCTTTCAGGTAGCATTGATGAGTGAGAGGAGCCCAAAGAGCTTCCTCTTTCAGCAAAGCTGATGGATTGATCTTGCTTCTCATTACTCCCTCTGCTGTAGCCTTCCCTGCAATCTGCCTTCCCTTCCTTCTCTGCAGTCTGCTTTTGATGTTACTTTTTCCACCAATGAGCTTGAATACGGGAAATGAGCCTGGCTACAAGGGCATCACTTGGGGGTGGGGTGGGGAGGCTGCAGGGCAATAAGGCACTGGACTGGGGAGGGTTCTGTTGTCTTGCTCAGCTACATATCCCCTTTGTTCATCAGATTGGACCTCAGCCCTCTGCTTTGTATGCCACTAAAGCAGACATGTGTTTAAATATTTCATTTGGTTCATTGACTGTCAAACTTAGAGCCACTTAAATTATACAGGCAGAAAAGGTAATCAAACTATCATAGATTCTTCAACAAAATCCTATTATGCTTGTATTATTGTAGATTGTCATTGTATGTTTTATTTGCATGCGTTTAATGTTTGAGATAGTTCAAAAATATTTTAATAATTTTTATCATGGGTTTCATCTTTTCTGATATGTATATAACTTTACTGTGACTGTAGCATTTTTCCAATTATGTGAAGTTGTTACAGCTGCTGTAACTCCACTACTAATGTAAGAATTAAGCCTATAAACATTACTGTGTTTTTTTTTTTAATTTTACTTTTACATGATCAATAGCAGGAGCAAACTAATTCAGCACAAATTGAAGGTTATGGTGCTTATTTTTTGAAACCATGTCATTAATGAAACAGGTTTGACCATGTTTTGGGCAGCCATGAAACTATGAGCCAAAATGATTTTAGACAAAGGAGCATAAAGAAAGGGACTTATCTTTACTTGAAATGTTTAAATATATGAATGAGGTTGTCCTCTGCTCTGAATTTCTTTCAGATGATTCAGTGAGCATGCCCAGTGTGGTAAGTGAACAGGAAGCGTACCTTATGGGTGCCATTGGGAGGAGGCGATTCTCCAGCCATCTCTCCAGCATGTCTGCACCTCAGCCTGAGGTTGGCATGTTACCCAGCCAAAGGTAACAAAATTAGTTATTTCATATTTCCTGACATTTCTCACAAGAACAGAAATTACAAAGGTATAATTTAATCTCTGCAGTGATGGTAACTGTAGTAATCTTACATATTAAAAACTTCCTTTCCTGTATTCTTCGGTATCTCTCATAAGTGAGCAAGAGGGCAATTTGGATATAGTTGTTCTTGTTAATATCACTTTCCATAGCACATTCTAAAGATTCAAAAACATTCTGCTGAATCCCATCTGAGACTGAAGATACTGGTAAAGACAACATTAAAAGTGTATACACAACTAGCTTGGATAAGGGATCTGTGAATGGCTGAGCTACACCTGTAGTCTCACAGTTGAGTTGCTCTGCATTTTGAGTTAATTATTTTTGTACTACATTTGTACAGATCTTTAAACACTGTAGCACTTGAGAAAATATAGATGTCTTTAAAATGTGAAATGAGATTTCTCCCTGAAAATTACTAGTCTGCTTTGGACAGCAGGAATGTGTAAGCACAAACTGTCCTATACCTAACAGTAAGGAAACTTAGCTATGGGCATGGTGTATATGTGCGCGTGCGAGAGAGAGAGACCATGAGCAAGCATGAAGGCTGTACAATTTTAAATCTACTACTAGACCACAACCTAACCTTCTGGGTTTTAAAAAATGCTTTACTTCTCAATGTTTAAATTTCATTATCACTTGGCAAATATTGGAAAATCAGTGTCACTGATCCTCAAGTACTCCCCTGCTGCAAGTCTAATCTAGTTTTCACAATGCTTAGGCAAACTTTTCTTACATATCTATGCAGGGTGAAAAACCAAGGCAGGGTGAGACAAAATGAGATGGAAGCTTAATACAACCATGCTGAGTTCATGATGTGAAATACATACCTATCTTTGGGGACCACTTCTCACTCACACCCACACACACACAGAATTTATATGCTTTTTTCATGGGAAGAGGATTATTTTAATTGGGAAAATTATATCATTTAGAAAAGCACAGATATCCTGCATTTTCTCTGGTTCAGCCATCAGAAACAATCCTTGACTGATGAGTATAATGATAAAAGAGAGAAACCATGAAAAATCAACAGAGATATCCTCAAAAACTTGCCTAAATTAAATCCAGTTATTATGCTAATTTTAATATTTCCAGTAATATTTTGCCTTAACTTGTGCTTGTAAAGTATGATAACATTTGCTTGGTAACCTGTGACATGTATTGCAGTAGAATTGCAAGCTTGTAACCATTTGGTGGATTAATGAATTTTTAAAAATGGTTGCTTAATTTGTGAAAGAGGTATAGCATGCTGGCTAGGCTATTTCTGACATGCTAGTGTCATATGAAATGAAAAAGGGCAGGTTTCCCCACCCCCACTGATGAGGTCAGAGTCCCAAGGAGGACTTTCCCGACAAGTCATGGCTTGGAATTGCAGGCCACACTCCCTGTTGGTTAAGACAGCCCTGGGACACTTGGGCACAAGGACAATCTGGCAGCAATGAAGCCTTGTTTGGAGAACTGGATATGCTGAAGTCCCCCTGGAAGAGGACTGTTCCTAATCCAGGTTGGATTTGTATGGGTGACTGACCCATCATCATACCGAGTGGAGGAAAAAGGATCTCAGAGTGCTTCTGCCACTAATGCTGTTTTAATTATGCTTCACTGTGCATGGCTGGGTTGGGCAGGGACTGAGGCTGGAGATAGTCCTTTTCAACTTCCAGTGTTAGAATAGTGCCCCATTCCCAGATCCTCACATGCAGAGGCATGTTGTGCTTTAGACAGCTGTGGGAAGCTCTTTGGTTACTTGTAGGGAAAATAGTAATTCTTGAATGAAATAAAACTGGTAGGTAAAGTAAGGTTTAAAAGGGCTGAGCTCAAAGTATGTGAAAAGCACTGGGCATCTCTACTCATTCCTGTTGAAGGGAATGCTGTTTTGAACTATGATATTCATTGAGGAATTCAGTAAAAACTGGATGCATGGGTTTTTTTTAACTGTCTTAAAAGAAACAGACATCTGAAAAGAAACAGACATCTGTGTCTTTTTGAACACAGGGACAATTGCATGCTTTAAACATATTTTCTTCCCTAAATGCTTCACCTCCCTGCCCCTCCTGCAGTGAACCTAATGTCCTCGATGACTCCCAAGGCCTGGCCGCTGAAGGCAGCCTCTCTAGGTACAGTGTTTACCCTACCTGTATGTCAGTGTCTGTGCTGGGAACAAACTGCTCCCTATATTCACTGTCTCTTTCTTCTTCACCCTTGATTATTTCTTCCTCCATCCCTGTTTCTTGTATTTCATGGATGATCAGTCTTGCAAGTCAAAGGTGTAGCAACCCTGTTGTGAGTTGTGGCTGCAGCAGCCTGTATTGGCCAAAAAAAAAAAAAAAAAAAAAAGTTCAATGTGGAATTAAACTTTGCAAACCAAACCCTTAGATGTCTGTTCTGGGATTTCTCTTCTCCTTCCTGTCACAGGTTTTTTTTTTTAAACTTTAGGAGCATCATATATCACACATTATTAAATTACTATTTGAGGTATAGACTTGAAGCTTTAAAATCTGAAATCTTTATTTTTATTAATAATAGAGTATCATAATTGGGGGAATGTCATTTTTAAATAATGTTAGTTCTGTTACAATATATTAACTACGGAGATTGTCTGAGTTATCAGTGCTTAAATAGAATAATCTCAGTCCCCCTAAAGAAAGTAGCCTAGTAGTGCTTTTTATCATGAAAGTCTATTTTCAGGGTATATACTTTTTTAAAGAAAACAATTCCTTTCAAGAAAGAAAGAAAGAAAGAAAGAAAGAAAGAGAGAGAGAGAGAGAGAGAGAGAGAGAGAGAGAGAGAGAGAGAGAGAGGGGCAGGCAGGCATGGTGTTAACCTTTGGTATCTTAGAGAACAGGAGAATTTGTACATTTTCAGGAACATTGCTATGCTATTACAGTATAGTAATTTTAATATATAAAAGGGAGGTCTGCACCTTTAACACACAGCTCAGTCATTTTAACCATTCTTACTGTTCTCTTGTGTTGATACCTCTCAACTGACCCTCAGTAACTGGGAAGACTTATATTATCCCCAAAGCCCTTACTTTATTGCAGGAAAGCATAGCACTTACATCTCAAATATGGTAAGACTACTGCTTCCTTTATCATGATTATCTAAAGATGAGGAAATGTTGAGAGGGATTACTGTGAATTACTTCTTCATTTTATTTTGTTTTAGATCTTCAGAACAGGAAATTATGTGTCACTGAATGTACCATATTGATCATTCCCATGATTCATTAAGTCGTTTGTGTTCTCATTTTGTGACCTGGCAGATGGCTCAGTCCCTGATTGGTAGAGATATGAAAAGGCTGGTGGGATAGAAATGGCACTTCCTTTGGGAGAGAACACGGTTTTAAATAGGAGGCAAAACTGTGCTTGCCCAAACATAAGTTTAAGACTGGAATTTTGAATTTAATGTGTCTTACTTGAGTAGACATGTATAAGATTGTACTTTAACAAAAGTTATGTCCATAGGTAAAAGGTAAAGGTTTACCAGTCATGTCCAACTCTATGGGATGATGCTCATCTCTGTTTCTTAGCCAAGGGAGCCAGCATTTGTCTGCAGAGTTTTGGTGGTCATGCGGCTGGCATGACCAAACACCGAAGCACACAGAACACTGCTATTCTTGCCCTGAAGTGGTACCTATTTACCTACTCGCATTTGCATGCTTTCAAACTGCAAGGTTGGCAGGAGCTGGGACAGAGCAATGAGAGCTCACCCTGTCATGTGGATTCGAACTGCTGACCTGTCATTCTACAAGCCCAGTGGCTCACCGATTTAACCCACTGTGCCACCTGCGTCCATAGAATTGTTTTAAAAATTTTGCCAATATTATCATCTTCATGATACAGATGAAACCCCATGATTTGTTTCTTGTTTACTGAAATATTAATACCCCACCTTGGCTTTTAAAAACATAAATTGTCTAAGCTGACTGATACAGAAACCTAAGTTGCAATGGGCTTCCATGGGAGGTGACTGAAGCCCCCTTGGTGAGGGTGTTTAAGGATAGGCTGGACATGCATATGGTAGGCATGTCATGAGTGGAGCTGGCTGGATCCAGGGGTCAGACTAGATGGCCCAGGAGGCCCCTTCTGACTCACTCTGTTTCAGTGTAAGAACAATGTATAAAAACTGAAAAATTAAAAGAGCAGTAATGAAACCACTAACAGAGGACAACCCCCTACCCCAAAACCAGTGTCTAGCTTGCTAAAGTCCAAGTGATCATAGCCAAGCAAGTATTTATTTATTCATTTATACCCTGCCTTTTCCTTTTCAAGGAACTTACATAATACTTACTTCAAGGCTTGCATAATTCTCCTCCTCTCAGTCTTATCCCCACAACAACAACCCAGTGTGGTAGGTTGGGCTGAGAGGCTGTGACTGGCCAAAATCACCTAGTTGGCTCCATGGCTGAGTAGGAACAAGAACTCAGGTTGCCTAAGTCCCAGTTCTGCACTTAACTGCTACACCACACTGGGTCTCCAGGTCTCCATTTAGTAACCAGTGTCTGTCATACCCCAGGGAGAGTTGCTGCTGTGAAGCATTTTCCAGGGTGAGTTACTGCGCCTTTGGTTTCTCTCTAATAAATGAGAACAGGTTATATAATTACATGTGTTTCTATAGTGTTTGAAGCTAGGGAAGAATATGCAAGTAAAAATGGTCCAGTGATGACTACAAAATGATAAATATTGGGACTCTCAACTCATTCAATACATCCCAGGACATTGGAGAGCTGCTTCCCTGATGCCCCACCCTCTAGTGTCAGTAAACCTCCAGGAGAGTTCCATGTTGGTGTGGGAACAGTGCTATCATATGTATATGCTGTTATATTTCCATGCATTTTCTTCTTTATAGTGTGTGGTCTACAAATTACAGTGGTAAATCAAGAGTCAAAGAGAAAGGGATACATTCCTTCTCACTTTACTCCTTCCCATTCCCTTTACCAGTGGCACTGTAGGCAGCTCAGGGGTTAGATAAAGAAGGCAGACCTCCCTCAAGGAACCATCAGAAGTCAGAAGTCAGAATAACTCTGTGAATGGTTTCCCAGTGTGCTGGACAGAGGAGTATTCATTGATCCTTTCCCTGGTATAGATTGTTATACCTGTGCACTGTTCTTTGCAGCTTGCTACTGTAGAGTAGGAGTTGCTGACATTTTTTAGAAGGTGTGCTACAGGATATGGGATAAAAATGTTTTAATAAATAAATAAATAAATAAATAAATAAATAAATAAATAAATAAATAAATAAGCATTGCTCTAGTGTGCACTAGAGTAATGCAAACACTTTGAGGTGCTTTTCCTTCTAGCATTGAACTGGGTGCAGGCTGCAGTGCAGCATAGCACAGAAGAGGCAAGCCAGTTTTCATGCCTGGGTGCCTGAAATGGAAATTCCCACAGACCTACCTGCTTTTCTGTAGCAGTGACACAGTGATCTTCTGTTCCTTTCGGATCTATGCCATAGACTGTCCACTATATTCTAGAGAGCTTAACAGTTGCTGCATTGGCTTGGTGTCAAGCCTCTTTCAGACTAAATTAAATTTCAAAGAAGCTCTTGGGGATGGCTTTCCAGGCAGTGATGGGTGTGAAGGCAAAAGGGGTGAAGCCATACATACCAGCATTTTTTAGCTTGACACTTTAGCTGTGAGAATGGGGGTAGGAGAGCACACAAAAATTCAGAAACCACCAAATGTTTGCTCAGAAGAAAGGGGTAGATCCAGGGGAAGGCCATTTGGGGAGCCTTGAAGAGCCAGAACCCTGATCTATACTGATAATAGAAAACAGATAACAGAAAACTATAAAACAGTTTCAACAGCAGAGGATAAAGCTGGTTTATGCAGAATACAATTACGATGTTTTTGCTGATCACATCTTTGATTCATTCCAACAAACAAGTACAGCTGCTGAGATGATGAATTGATAATCCAGTTTCCTTTAATGTAAATGAAATCAGAAACATGAAAACAGTATAAAATGCATTCACCCCTATTAAATGAAAAGAGATTGTATCTATGTAATCCTGCCTGGCTGTTTAGGTAACTTTAAGCTGAAAGAGTACCCCAGCTCCAATCCAGTCTCATTCATAGCCCCTCCCATCCCAGTTAGTTGCTCTGCTTTGTGTAATACCATTTTGAAAGAGGCTTGGCACCTGTAATACCTATGGGAATGGTGACTTGCCAGACTAGCATTGACAGTTCATGATGACATGGCATTCTGGGTCAGCTCATAATGTAATTTGTAATAACTTCTGTGATTGTGCAATGTTAATTCCTGGATCACTTTCTAAATATTTGTTACTGCAACCGTGATTTGTAGCACTGGACCACAAACTCAGGGGAAAGAAGTAAATAGTGCTGGAAGATTTGTAACTGCAATGAGGGGTTTTTGTTTTTTGTTTTTTACTAAATGGTACTAAACAAAAGCCCAGGTGGGAAGACTGTGATAACAGTCTTCAGTACTTTAAAGAAGAGTCCCCAACCTTTTTGAACTGTAGGCACTCTGGGAATTTTAGAAACTGCTGTGTAAACCAGAACAAAATGGGACCCACAAAAGTTGTGTCTAGTTATCTAATGGTTGCAAGGAGGGCCTGATTAGTCAAAAGTGATCTAAAGAAGGGAGGGAGAGAAATTGTGAAGCTAGATGCTGTGAGGGGGACATGGCAAAGCAAACAGGTAGAGGAGAGAGGAGTGAAACCAGAGGCTAGAAGGGAAAGAAGGAAGACTATCCTGACATTTCCCAAGGTTTTTAGTTAATGTATCTGTTTGAAGGGGACAGGGGTGTAGAAAGCTTTTTGAGCACCTTTGGCAGTCCCTTGGGCAGTGTGTTTGGGACACCAGTCTTAAAAGTTGCCTTTAAATAAATGGAAGCAACTGTTTTCCCATGTTGCTTATTATTGGCTAAGACAAAAGCAATACCTTTAAAGTGTAAGAAAAATTTGGGGAAAATACCAGAAAACCTTTAAGAATAGTGCAATGTGACAAAAGAAACTATTGAGCCTCCTGTCTTGGAGTGTTTTGTGTGGAAACAATAATCATCTGTCAGGAACATTTTAGCTTTAGCCAGCAGTTCATTCCATAGTGAATTCCAAGACTTTACATTTTATTTGTAGCAGATGAGTCCAAAGAACAAGTTGTTGCCATAGTAATCCTTGTACATTAATCTGCTTTCCCCCATAGTATCTGCAATATTACAGTTCTGTATCTTAGTCACAGTATTATTTGCAGTAGTATTGGAGATAACTTTTAGTTTACTGCTACTAAAAGGTTACAGAACTTTTAAAGTCCACAGAAGTGTTGCTTAAATGTCAATGTTTATCTACCTGCATCTTCTGTTGCATATTTCCCTTGCCACTTTTTACATTTAATGAATTGAGCATGCTGTGTAAAAGGCTCTTCACATTTAGCTGAGATTTTTCTTAGCATTAATTATCAGGAGTGATGGAAAGGTCATCTGACTTAAGGCAAAGGGAAGGGGAGTTAGAATATCTCACCTGGCCTAGACATCTAGTGAGTAACAAAAGAATGCTGATCAACTGCATATTGCTGCAGTATCCTTAAATGATGCTGTTTTCTGTTCTTCCAAATTTCCTGGGATCCTAAAAAGAGGAGGGGGGCATAGGAAAGGTGAGTGAAGTAGGGAATGACTACCAATTCCAGCAGCCTTATTTTCAACACTGTATTAAAATTGGGAAGATGGATTTCAGAAGCATGAAATTTATATGTAATTTAAACTGAACAGCTTATATATCCTGAAAAACATAAAATACCTGTACTACCTAGTAGATTTATCCCTTTCTAATTTTTGCCATAATAAATGTTGCAAATAATTACCACTTTTGGAAGGATTAGACAGAGACAAAAGGAAAGAATAGCAAAGAAGTTACATTTTAAACATTGTTTTTCTTCTAATATAAATGTACTCCCACCCTTAGATGGTGAGGGAGTTTGAAAGTGTTAAGAAGTTGAGAGGAATGCTACTAGGAGGCCAAGCTCTCTCACTATCTATCTATCTATCTATCTATCTATCTATCTATCTAGAGTATTTGTATGCCGTCCTTTCGCATAGCCTCAGGACGGCTTACATAAATAAGAAAAATAAAGTAAAACATAATACAAATAAAATCCAGATTCACCCTGGCTGCAGATTAAAACCTATATAGCTGATGTTAAAAGTTATTAAAATATTGTTGAAATAAAAAGGTCTTAGTTATTTGTTTTTCGGCGCCAGGCAGACCTCTCTGGGGAGCGCATTCCATAGGTGGGGCGCCACCGCAGAGAAAGCCCTCGTCCGGGTACTTTGCCTCCTAATGTCCTAAAGAGGGTTCCCGGAGGAGGGCCTCTGTTGCCGATCTCAGGGGGCAGGAGGGCAAATACAGAAAAAGGCGTTCCTTTAGATATCCAGGTCCCAAGCCATTAAGGGCTTTATAGGTAATAACCAGCACCTTGAATTGAGCCCAGACTTCGATGGGAAGCCAGTGAAGCTGGTAGAGGACTGGGGTTATATGTTAGTAACGCCCAGTCTCCGTCAGCAACCTGGCTCTCTGTTTTGCACCGTCTGAAGTATCTGGACTGTCTTTAAGGGCAGCCCCACGAAGAGAGTGTTACAGAAATCCAACCAGGAAGTAACCAATGCATGTGTCACTAGGCTTGTTTGCTAGTAGGGTCACCCAAAGGCAGAATGGTCAAAGTGGAAAAACCAGATTAAGATGCATCCACCCTCTTCAGGAATAACAGTCACATCAGCAGAAGAGAATGGATCTCTCTAAAGATGATGGGGGCAAAGAAACTCCTGAAGGGCAGCTACTGGACAGCAGCGGTAGCTGAAGGCGACACTGGCCAAAGATCTTTCACAGACAACTTCTAAATATTTCTTACCTTGAAAAGCCTATTATGAAACTATCCAAAATGAAAGAAGAGATAGCACCAGAAGATGAGATTTCCACATTGGAAAACACTTAACTGGCTACTGGGGAACACCAAATACTGTTATTGTTAAGGATACAACTAGATCAAAGCTTAAAGGAAGTCTAGTGGCAGACATGCACAGAAATGAAATAAGTCCAGTGCCACGCAACACATGCAACTGGAATATGGAGCATGAGAAATATGAATCAAGGCAAACTAGAAACAGTAAATCAAGAAATGGAACTTAAACATCATAGTGCTTGGTGTGAGTTAACTAAAGTGGTCTGGAATGGGACATTTTCAGACATACAAACAATGTTTTACTGCAGAAATAACAAACTCAGAAGAAATGGAGTGTTTCTAATACCATGGCAGGACATTGCATCATAGCTCTTCAATGCCTATGCTAAGTCATATTGATCAGAATTCTTGGAAAACGTAGCAACATTTATTTATTATATTTCTAGTCCACCTTTTTTCTTTGCAAGGAAGTAAATGCAGCGTACATAATTCTCCTCCTCTCAATCTTAACCTGACAGCAGCAGTCCTGTGAGGTAGGTTGAGCTGAGACTCTGTGACTTGCCCAAAGCCACCCAGTTAGCACTACATGGGTACTATAACCCAGATCTCCTGAGCCCCAGTCCTGCACTCTTAACCATCACACCACATTGAATCTCTCCACATAATCATCATTGAAGTCTGTGCTTCAACAACAGATGCTGAAGAGATCAAAAACTTTGATTTCAAATAAAAAAAAATCAAGTGTGTAAGATAAAGTTGATAACACACCAAAAACTGGGATGCGAAAGTAGGAAACAAAGCAGGTTCCAATGTTGTGGGAGAATTTGGCCTGTGATATGATACAAAGCAACACAATGATCTAGAATTCTCTGAAGCCAGCCATCTTTTTTTTTGCAAATACATACTACAAGCAACCAATTAGATGGCTATAGACATGGGTATCACTTGTTGCTCAATATAGTGATCAAACAGACTACGAAATTGTCTCCATTACAAAGAACCAGCTCCCCAAAGAGGTGGATCTGGTGCTCACTCTTTATTCCTTTCAGAGCTAAATGTTTAACTGGGTATTTACCCAATATTTTAATAGTTACAATTTTATCCATATTTATGGATGCATTTTATCTTACGCTTTTATATTTTGTTTGGTATTGCTGCTATGCCTCTGGAACGATCTGGTTGCGGTTGCTAGCATTTCCTGGGTTTGTTGTGAGTTTGTTAGGTTTGTAGTGGAGATACTGTGGATATAATGTTTTTATCTGAGGTATTATTTATGTGATTTTAAATGTTATTGATTGTTGGTATACATTTCAGTGCTGTAAACTCTCCAGGAAACCGTTTTTGGCTGATGGATGGTAAACAAACAAACAAACAAACGGAGGTAGAAAATGGAGAGGCTATATTCTTGCTGCCAAAACAATACTAGGAGCATATTACAGGAGTGACCATGAACTTTTAATATCAAAAATTAGAGTAAAGCTGAAAAAGATCACTAATAGAAGCATAGTGCCCAAATACAACTTCTGTAACATCCCTGAGAACAGATTTGCATTACTGAATTCAACTGACTGCAAGCTAGAAACACTTATACTGAAACTAGAGAGATTATTTGGGAAGAATGCAAAGACAATCCTCTAGCAAAAAGAAAGCCTAGATGGATGATAGGCGAAGCACTCACAATTGCCAAGAACAGGCAAGAAGCAAAAGCAAACAATGACAAAAACAAGCTGAGAATCCTGAATGCAACTTTTTAGCAACTATCACATAGAGACACACACACACACACACAAAAACCTATTATAATGACCAGGGCAAAGAAAAAGAGAACAATAAAGGAGGAAGAATAAGAGGCCTCTTCCAGAAAATCCAAGAAATCAAAGGGAAATTCAAACTTAGATTAGGAAGCTGGAAGGTAGAAACAATATGTGGATATATGGAAGAAATATCCAGAAGAGATGAAAGCATGACAGACTCCTTCATAGAAGAATCCTATGAGGAAGAACCTGGAATATTAGAAAGTGAGATGAATGCACTTGCAAGTAATAAACTATCTGGAGTACCTATAGAATTATTCCAACCTTTGGAAATTGAATCAGTCCAAAACATTACATGTATATGCTAATAAATATGGAAAGCAAATAATAGCCCACAGACTGGAAATGTTCAAATTACATTCCAATCCCCAAAAAGGAGATACAATGGTACCTTGGCTCACGAACTTAATCCATTCCAGGACTCTGGTTGTGACCCTAATTGATCATGAGCCAAGTCAAATTTCCCCATAAGATTAATGGTTAATCCATTCTGTAACTATTTTTTTAATCAGAAAAATTTGAAGCAAAGTGACAAAGAACAACAAAGATCATGGCCATCTCCCCCCCCCCCACCCCGAGCACGAGCACAGCCATCTCCCCCCCCCAGCACGTGCAGGGATGATGGGCATGATCACGGGCGCCCTGGGGGGAAGAGACAGGCGTGATCGTGGGCGTGCTTGGGGGGGGGGAGACGGGCGCGATCGTGCTGGAGGGCGGAGATGGCCGAGATTGCGGTTTGTTTGTGCAGGAAAGATGGGCACGATCTCGGCCATCTCCCCCTACACAGCACAATCATGGCCATCTCCTCACCCCCCAGAGCACAACTGCAATTGCACCTGTCTTCCCTGCATGAACATGACCCCAATCATGGCCATCTCCCCACTCGGGGGGGGGGGGTGGGGAGATGGCCATGATCACGGTCACCACCCAATGCAAAGTTCGTGACCTGAGTCAAAATTTTTATGAAATTTTTGTTCACAAGCCGATTTGGTCATGAACTGAGGCGTTCATGAGCCGAGATACCACTGTACTAAGAAGTGCAGCAACTATAGGACAATGACACTAATTTTCCATGCAGACAAAATGATGCTCAAGGTGATGCAACAACAAATATGCCTGTCATTCAAAACAAAGAGGCAGTACAGATCATATTGCAAATATACATTGGCTACTATAGTGCACTGAACCATTTCAGAAGATCCGTCTGTTTTATAGACTACGGCAAAACCATTGGCTATGCAGATCACAAGAAGCTATGGATGGTTCTGCAAGAAATGTTTGTGCCCCAGCAGGTGTGAAAGATTTTACATATCTTGTCTCGATCATCATTTCAAAGGAAGACTAAAGCCAGGAAATTAGGAGAAGACTGAGACATGAAGGGAAACAGTGAAGGAACTAGAAAGGATCATCAAGTTTCATAAGTTCAAGCATGTTTTACTGGAGATCAAGGCCAAGATATCCACACTATTTTACTTTTAATCAATAAGTATGGATTTGAAAGCTGAATGGTAAAGAAAACTGACAGGAAGAAAATTAATGTTTGAAACATTGTGGTGGAGGAGAGTTTTGTGAATACCTGGAATGACAGAAAGATGAACAGGTGGGTCCTAGATCACATAATGAAATGGAAACTGTTATTTTTCAGTCACACCATAAAAAGGGAAGGGAAATAATGCTAGGGAAAGTTGATTCCATTAAGGAAACTACAGCTTTGAGTTTACAAAGCTGTGAAGTACAGAACATTTTGGAGGGCAATGAGTCATATGGTCACCACAGTCAGAGATGGCATATAACAACAACAATAAACTTAGTAGCAAAATTGTTTGTTTTGCTCCTATGTTTTAACTTTTGATAATGTAAGTTATCAGCAACTTTGTAAGTTATTAGGCTCAGTTTCCTGAGACTATAGTGAACAAGAAAAATCCAAGTGTATCTATCTAAATTCAGGAAAAGGTGGAAATCCTTTCTCAGGATCAAAGGAGTTTACTTTTGTGGAACCTATTTTGTTTTTCATTAGAACCCAGAGATCCACCAACTAAAGTTCAATACAAAATATCTAGCTTAGGAGGACACAGAATTCAGGAACAAGGTGCCTCTGATTAGTTGGTCAGCCCAAGTACCACAACTGGAGCTCATACACAAATTTTTTCACTTACAAGTTTATTCCTAAGAGATTCCTTAATTTGGGGGAACTAATTTAGCAAGTAGAAGGGCTTTTGTTTTTCACTATTGCTAATCTATTGTGAGTCACAAATTCTGACTGCAGATCTCTCAGAGATTTCCCAGTAGATGCAGATCTACTTTCTGAGTTAATACATGCCACCAACACAATTTATTTTAAAGCCAAATAACTGAACTAAGAAATATGCAATTTTATTAATAAATTAATATCATTGAGGTATCAACTATCACTGAAAGTAATGGTCTTCTTATTTCAGTTCTTTCCACTTGAACACTGGCAATCATTTCCTGATGGTGAATATAAATGTACTATAAAACAATGGAAACAGATGGAGGAGAATGATTTTAACATGCTTGAAATACGGAAATGAGTGCCTTAGTAGAGCCTTAGTGCCTGTTTCATTGTGAAAATGTGTTTTTATTTACTTCAGATAATTTGGTTTCCTTTAAAATTCTGTTAATCCTTTTTTTTTAAATTAGTCATACATTTTCTAGGATGTGTCCACAGAGATACTTGAGGCTGCAAGCATGTGTTCAATGTGGTAACTTTTTCCATAAGTCTTGTGTCCATGCTGTGAATTAAAAATTGGTCAACTGTGTTCATCATTCACCTTGTTTTGAACTGATCTAGAATTATGCAAATGTATAGGTATCTCTAAAATCTAGGTGTAAGGGAAATGTATGTTTCGATTCCCTAATGTCTACAAAAAACTGTTTGATGAATTCTTATTATTGTCCTGTCTTGTTCCTTTATGACATAAAAGTGACAAAGCTGCCCTGTATGGAATGGAAAGCATGACTGGATGCTGACAACTGAGATCCTAGCTTTGACAGTCTGTAACTACCAGTATGTGGCTTAGTCCTGAATGCCATTAGTCCTCCTGTCTCAGTCTCAAATCTAACAGGCTGTCCCTTAGCCTTCAAAGATGGTGCAATCTTTGAAGTGACTGTGCCATTAATTTTTAGCCACATTTGCAAAGAAGCTAACATTCTAGCTTATGTGCTTTGATACTAGTGACAATGCTCTTGATACTTAACAGGGTAGCAAGTGTGCAGAGTGAACCTGGACACCACAACCTCCTTCTTCAGCAACCATTAGGGAGAAAAAGAGGTTTGAGGCAGGTACGTCTATTTTATGGTTTTTGATGACAAAGAAATTATGACATTTTGTTTAGTGAAATTTGCTAAGATATGACAGGTAGTCAGTACTTATTGTAAGCGTTGGTCTGATGTAATATAAGGCTGGAGTAACTTTTCTTGTCAATCAAAGTTTGAACAGTTTTGGTCTATCATATTTTCTTGAGCACAGAAATGAGTGCAGGTTTCTTTCTGGGTCTGTCCATAGAGTGCTGACTGTCTTTCAGAGTGCTGACATAGGGATTATATAGAGCTGGGGTGCTGACTGTCTTTCAGCCTGAGGGCCAAAATCCATTTCGGAGAACCTTTCAGAGGCTATCTTTTAGTGGCAGGTGGAGAGGAAGGCAAAAGATTCAGGACTAAACATAAGAAAAAATCTAAAGTGTTCTAGCTTAAAGCTATTTGTACCAGTAAGTCTCAGAAGTATTTCAACCTTTCAAAATGGGGAAGAATACACAAAAATTGGGAAAGCACCAAGCAAGCAGTGGTCAGGGAAAGGAGGAGAGCTAAGGAAGGGGGCATGTCTATAAGGGAACAGATTGTTTTCATCTAGTTGCCTGGCTACCAAAATACAATGAACACAGACATACATCCTATTTGGGCCTGGTCCAGATCAATGGATTACCATATGAACGAAAGAAAAGGTATACAGGTTTCAATTTGTATCTGTATGCTGTACCGAATTATGAATAGGCAATGAAGGCTAGGAGGTAGATTGCAGGGAAACCAGAAAGAAAGAAAAACCTTCTAAAGGACAGCATTTGGTAGTTAGCCTTGCTCCTGGTTTTCACATCCTTTCTTAGATAAATTCTCTCAGTTTGTAGCAGGAACATTATGCAGCAGCAGATACCCACACCAACTTATTATCTACCAAAAATATAAATAAAAAGCAACAAAAACAATAAATTGTATAATGAAAATTTCCCATAAGCAACGGTCAAAAGAAACTAGATCTCAGCATGGACGAACAGAGTAGCCCATACATTCTTGTAACCAGTTCTATAGATTGATGAGATCTCTTACTTGCTGCCACAAAGCTGTCATAAAGTTGCTTTTAGGAGAATGAAGCTGCTACATGAAAGATGAAGGCAGATGAAATCAATTTTGTCACAAATTCTATTTTATTTTTTATTAGGAAGTGAATGTGTGTTTGAGCTACTTTTGCTCTTATCAAAGGTGCAATCCGATGGCCTCTGGACAGCATCTGAGTGGCCATAGGATAGTTTGTATTCCTAGATCTGAAATCAAAGTCAGCAGTCTGACTTCAGAACTGGAAATAGGAAGTTCAGGCCCTGCTACCCTTCCTTATTGTAGCTGGAGTAGGAAACAACCACTCCAGTTGTTCTCTGAGGTTGGAAGAGCATCCTCAGAAAGAAATGAGTGTTTCAGCGAGAGTGGAGGAAACTGGAAAAGTGGAGATATGACACTTTTCCAGCATCCTTCCCTGCCCCTCTGCAATGCTCCAGCTAGATGGAAAACTTCCCTGTCCATCTAGTGACAATGCAGAGCTAGAAGACGAGGAGGTGGTGATTGCCTTTGCTGCTTCTCTTGCTGTGCATTATACGAGTTTGTGGCAGGGGTTTGGGTAGGTGTTGGGCTGGGAACTGGGAGATCTGGGTTTTAGGTATGAAGATCATTGAGTGACTTTGAGCCAGTCACTCATTCTCAGCCTAACTTACCTCAAGGGTGGTTGTCATGAGGATAAACTAGAGAACCTTTGAAGCCACCTTGAGTACCCTACAAAAGCAAGAAAGGCAGAATATACATGTCATAATGATGATTGCCAGAGGATTGTGGCCTTAGATTATTGTTCTCGTCTTCACCCTAATTTCATGTAAAGGAACAGAGGATTTACTTTTGTTATCTAAAGAATTCTTATAATTACCAAAAATCCTGTTGTTGTAACACCAGCAGATTATGGGAAGAGTCTGGTAGGTCAGTCTAGTCAACCTCCTGATGCTTGGCATCATCAGATTCAAGAAGAGATATATTGCCTCAGCAAACTCTAAATTTCAAATTATTACCAAGAAATTCTGTCAGAATTTCAGTTTTCCATCCGTATTATATCAGTAAACCCAAAAGGTGATCCAAAGTAATTACATTTAAGAGACCAGAAAATATTCCCAAATAATCTAAACAAGTTTCTTGAAAGAGAACAAAACTGAGAAAGGATTATAATTTTCTAGCCAGATTGTCTTCTGTAACCTCTGACAGTGAATATGTGCTGTATCAAGGTCAAGAAACATCCAGTTCTACAATTACACTAACATAGAAACAGAGTGAGTCAGAAGGGGCCTTCCTGGACATCTAGTCTGACCCCTGGCTCCAGCCGGCTCTGCTCACGACATGCCCACCATGTGCATGTTCAGCCTATCTTTGAACACCCGCACTGATGTGGCCTCAACCACCTCCCGTGGAAGCCCATTCCGTACCCTAGGGGTCCTGACAGGAAGTACTTCCTGGCATCTAAATGAAACTTTGGTTCCCTGAGCTTTGCTCCATTGGAGCGTGTCCTGCCTTCCTCTGCAGGGGAGAACAGGTCTCTTCCCACCTCCGTTGTGGGTACACCAGAATCATACAGAGTGGTAGTAATACCTCTCGATCTAGAAGCCACACTTCTGGCTATGCAACCAAGGGTGGCGTTCGCCCTCTTAACCACAGCATCACACTGCGGACTCATGCTTAGCCTGCAGTCAACCAACACCCCAAGGTCCCTTTCACAAGTGCTGCCCTCCAGCCATTTGTCCCCTAACCTGTACTTATGATACCCATTCCTATGCCCCAAGTGCAAGACCTTGCATTTATCCACATTGAATGCCATCCTGTTGTATCCTGCCCACTTCCATAGTCTGTCCAGATCCTTATGGATCTGGAGTACCTGCTCCTCAGTTGTGGCCACTGCCCCAGTTTTAGTATTGTCTGCGAATTTGTTCAGCAGACTGTTCACCCCTTCCTCCATGTTATTGATGAAAAGATTAACAGGATCGGCCCCAGGACAGAGCCCTGGGGGATCCCGCTTGTCATTGGTCGCCATCCCGATGATTCCTCACTAATGGTTACTCTCTGCTTTCGGTCAGTCAACCATGCCCTAATCCATCAGACAGTGCTTTGGTGTATCCCAAAACTCCTCAGTTTCTCAAGCAGGATATCATGGGGCATTTTGTCAAAGACCTTGCAGAAATCCAGGTAAACCACATCCACTACATCCCCTCCTTCTAGCCATCTCGAAACCTTGTTGTAGAATTCCACAAGATTTTTCTGGCAGGACCTGTTTTTGCGGAAGCTGTATTATGTAGCTGCCAGCTTCCCTTCCCTATCTAGCATCACTAGATCTCTCAATATTATGAGCCTTTCCATTGTTTTTCCTACAATGGACATAAGGCTAATAATGATGATATATCACCAGTGATAAAGCTTCAAACAGGGAGCACGTGGAACTCTTTAAATCAGCTAAATAACCAAAAAGCAGATTAAGCATAATGTCAACTCTGTATTTTAGAGTGGTTAACTTCAAATTGAAGGCACCATTTTGTTCAGGTGCCTTATTACATCAGAAAGATAATCCAGTTAATGAAAACAAAGTAAGGTTTGTCAAATTGGAAAGTCTGAGGGCTGTAGTATACACAAATGGATATAAAGAAGAGATATTTCAGAACCAGATCACTGCTTGATTAAAATGGTTCATTGCTTGTTTTTCAGTTAAGAAGGCCTCTTTTATCACGACAGAAAACACAAACTGAGCCTCGCAGCCGTCATGGTGCACGACTTTCTACCACACGTCGAAGCATACAGCCAAAAACAAAACCAACTGGTGAGGAAGCATTTACCTAAGGCTAGTGTTTTGTTAAAAAATAGTTGCTGGGTTTGCATTTCCTTTATCAGTCAACTGACCAATGATACCATGCATATCTTCAACTTAACATAAATCTGTGTCATTAGCAAATAAGATTTCATGAGGCACTAATTTTTAAACATTACTGAGACTGAGACTCTTTTTGCATTATATATATATAATGCAGAAAGTTATAGTTCTCTCTGTCTCTGTCTCTCTCTCTCTCACACACACACACAAACACGGTATTCAGGATGGTCTGTTTTTACGTTAAGTGCCTCATCGAACTTCCCTTCCTAGAATTGATTTATTAGGTTTTTATCCCACCCCATTATCCAGGAAGGCTATCTTGAGCAAGATGGCTTTGCCTGACAGGGTTTTCCCCTTTGACTTCTGCATGCTCTCACTTTTTAACCCTTGTCTCTCTCTAATGCCTCAGTTGTGCCCTTACTTCAGCTCCTTTCCTTCCGTCTCCAGTGGTAGCCCATTGCTATGGATAGTTTTTATTTTATGATTTAAATAATGACTGAGAACTGATTTTGGATATACTCTGTTACGATACTGCTAAGAATGTGTGTGTTCCATGTATCAACTGTTGCTTCTGATGTAATCCCACAGTGGATCAAAAGCGATCTGTAACCTTCACTGAGGCTCAGTCAGAGGCATCAGCCTCAAAATCTGATCCAGCACCAATAGCAACCCAGCAACAAAGCAGCAAAAGGAACATCCCAGTGGGAGCTGGCAAGCAAGAGGTGACAAATAAACCTGGTGTGACGTCCTCGCCTGCTGTTACTGTGGCAGATCTCCACAGTCAAGTCTCCTCCAGTCAGGTAACTCAGTGAAGAAGGCAGAAACTATATCCAATCCTGTCTCTGTTATATGCCAGTTGACATTTGCTAGCTGCAGTTCATGTGCTCTGCATATATGTCATGCATTTATTCTCTCATTGTGCCTTAAGTTAGTCATGGTACATGGGTATCGCCTCTGCTGCTTCTCCTTGCATATTCCAGTGTGAATGTGTGAACGGAGGCACAGAGGCAGTGCTGTCACTGTTGGCACTGATACAGTTCCAGAAGTGCAAGTGCTGCTTTACAGTGCATAAAAGAAGCTCCAAGAAGCTATCAGTTGGAAATCTAATACACAGGAACAGAAGAAGGTGTGAGAAGTGGTTGCAGACTAAACAAGGATGCAGTGTGCAGTTGTTTTTACTCCATGTGCTTAGGATTTCTGACAGGCTCAGTTACAGTGGGCCAGCCTTCCCCAAACTGACAGTTTGGGCTATAACTCCCAGCATTCCTTACCATTAGTAATGCAGCTTCCTAAGTTCCTAACTAATTGATTGACTAAATGTCCCCCTGAATTAATATTTTATAATTTAATTCAAGTTGCCTGTTGTGTGCATGAAAATTTCAACCATGGAATGTGTTACCAAAGTGGGGGCAGTGGACAGGATCTGGACAGGAGGTGGAAGTGAGTGGGGGACAACAGGGTGGCATTCAGTGCAGATAAGTGCAAGGTCTTGCACCTGAGACACAAGAACGGGTGTCACAGGCACAGGATGGGGGAAAAGTGGCTGAAGAGCAGCACTTGTGAAAGGGATCGCGGGGTACTTGTCAACAGCAGGCTGAACATGAGCCACCCTTGGATGTATAGCCAGAAATGTGGCTTCCAGATCTAGGGAGGTATTGATATCACTTTACACAACTCTGATGTGCCCACAACAGGAGTACTGCATCAAGTTCTGGGCTCCACATTGTAGAAGAGACATAGCTAGGTTAGAATCGGTTCAGTGCAGGGTCCCAAGAATGGTAGCTGGGCTGGGAGGGATGACATATGAGGAGAGATTGAGGGAACTGGGTCTTTTCAGCCTGGAGGAGACTCCAAGGGGATTTTTTTTATTTTCGATTTATTTTTCGATTTATCTCCTGCCTTCTTCCTGCAAAGGGCTCAAGGCAGCTTACATCATTCTCCTCCTCCATCTTATCCCCACAACAACAACCCTGTGAGGTAGGTTGGGCTGAGAGTCTGTGACTGGCCCAAAGTCACCCAGTTGGCTCCATGGCTGAGCGGGGACTAGAACCCAGATCGTCTGAGTCCCAGTCCCATGCTCTTAACCACTACACCACTAACCACTACACTTTTTAGCGACTTATAGGGATGTGAGGGGATGGCATGTGGAGGAGAGCCATGCCCTGTTCTTCCCTGCAGTGAAGGGCTGGATGTATTTCAATGGGAGAAAGCTCAAGGAACCAGGCTTCAGTTTTGATGTCAGGAAGTACTTCCTGATGGTTAGGACCCCTAGGATATGGATTGGGCTTCCAAGGGAGATGGTTGAGGCCTCATCAGTGGGGGTGATCAAGGAAAGATTGGACAACCACATTTTGGGGATTACTTGAGCGGGGCCGGCTGGAGCCAGGTGTCAGACTAGATGGTCCGGGAGGCCCCTTCTGACTCACTTTTTTCCTGATTATATGTTTCTATGAAAGATTAAATGCAGTATTGCTTCTCTCTGTCTTTCCAGAAGGACAGCAACTTAAGCTAATGAGTTAGGATCCCTTTTGTAATACATTAGGGTAATACTTTTCCATGTAATGATTTCCTATAGGTGAAGGGAACCATACAGGACTCTATTTTATTTCCCTATCTGTTCAATCCCTACACAGGGAAAGCTGTATTAGGGTCAGAGGAAGGAGTGAAAATTCATAGAAGACACATCAGTAATTTAAAATATGCAGATGATATATTATTGGAAGAAAGCAGAAATGAATTGAAAGGACCCCTGATCAAAATAAAAGAAGAAAGTGCAAAAGACTTCAGCTGAATATTAAGAAAACAAAAATCATTAGTGCAGAATAATTACACAACTTTTCTGTCAACAATGAAGAAATTGAAATTGTGAAAGATTATCCATATCTCAGTTTAGTCAAAGGGAGTCAGTAACCAAGAAATTTGAAGACTGAGACTTGGAAGAGCAGCAATGAAGGAACTAGAAAGACTCATCGAGTGTCAGGACATCTCACTGGAGACCAAGGCCAAGTTCATCCACAGTATTGTATTCCCAATCACTATGTAAGGATGTGAAAGCTGGACAATTGATGCATTCAAAACAAGGTGGTGGAGGTGAGCTTTGCAAATAATCTGGACTGACAGAAAGATAAGTGGGTCCAAGAACAAATCAAGCCAGAACTTTCCCTGGAAGCAGAAACTGTACAAAACTGAAGCGGTTTGTTGTACACCGGCATATCATGAGAAGGCAAGATTCACTGGAGATGACCATGCTAGGGGAGTCGAAGGCAGAAGATGAGGACCATTTCTGACGTGGCTTGATTAATGAAAGCCACAGCCTCAAGGCATGTCATGAGAAGAGCCAGCTAGAGCCGGGGGTCAGACTAGATTATCAGGGAGACCCCTTCTAACTCGCTCTGTTTCTATGCTTTCATGAGCTGAGCAGGGCTCAGGATAGGACATATTGGAGGGTCAGTCAGAGAGAACATAATAGCAACATGACAGCAACAGCAAAGATACTCTTCAGTATTCAGTAGTATTCACTGTTTTTCAGGTGCAAATAACATTTATAGTTACCATTTTATTAAAACTAGAGCCTATTTCATTTAAGGATTATTTGCAAAGAGTAAACCTACTGATAAAATTTGTTTATTTCTGTAAGCTGTCTTGAGACTGCTGCAAAAGGTAGCATATAAATGTTTAAATTAAATTATTGAAGCACAATCCTCTGCTGTGACCAACTAGAGAAAAGTTGTGAAGTGAGGTGTCTACATCAGGGGGGAGTGTGTGGAAGAGGTAAAATTTAAAATTAAGAAATATGTTTTTAGGGGTCCACCATTCTAGGTTCTTAAGATTTGTCTAAGGGCACTTGCAGTCTGCTAGTGATCTGTATTAATCTTTGTTCATTCCAGACTGCAACACCTTCTGCTGAAAAAGATAAAAAGGATGAGGACCCAGAGCAAAAGCCACTGCAAGCACACAGTTCCCCTCCAGCCTCACAGCTTTCTGACACTGAGGATTTTACAGGACTAGAGACCACCAGCTTACTGCAGCATGAAGACACTGTTCTTCACATCAGTGAAGATAACGGAACAGAGAATCCCCTGCTTTCTAGCCAGTTCAGCTTCACACAAGTTGAAATGGGGCAAACTGACGTTGACCTAGATGAGTCTCATGTTTGACTTGGGAGATGAGCTGTAATGTATTAGAACAGTAGTTCCCAATCATTTTTCACTTGCATACCACTTCGCATCTCATTTCCATAAATTGTGCCCTTTGTATTAGCAAAATGTTTGTAATTATTATAGTTATATAACAATTATATAATTGTTATTTCTCCCATTGTTACTTTTTTTTGTTTTTTGCATACCATAAATGTCCTGGGTTGTACCCCTGGTGGTACTTGCACCAGGCTGGGAATCTCTGCATTAGAAGAAGAGACCTTGCCCTGGTCTTCATATCCCTCTGTAAGTATTTGAAAGAGCACTTTATAAATGTTATAAATGTTTGGTACAGGTGAGCAAATATATTTTAAAAATATTTTGGACAGATCTGGTTGGACTCAGGGCACACTATGAGTTAGAGAAATAATTTGGAATATGCTTAGACACAAACATTATGTCACAACATTATGGTCTTTTACACTCATCAGTTTCTCCAATAAAATATGTTACACTAATACATGTTAAGCAGAAAAAAACAATCTTTTTGGAGGATGCCACCTTAATATACTATCTTAGAAGTTTATTTTTGTAATTTTAGAAGGGACAGAGAGAGAGAGAGAGAGAAAGGGAGTGAGAATATGAGTCACAAACATAATTACTAGCTATTGAGCTACAAAACGTTTTATGCCTGTATATGCTCTAATTCACATCAGAATGTCAAATGCCAAACAAGCATCAGAGGAATATTTTGAGTAATTTCTCCCCCTTGTTTGCACTTGTACACTCTAAGATATAATCCATAACTTGTTTTCACTCACTTAAAAGCTAAATGCGGACTGCACTGAATAAAGATAATGCTATGCACAGATGTGGGTGATTTGGGCAAGTGTTCTGCAAATGAGGCAAATGGCACTAAATATTCTGCTTAAAATACTGAGCAACCTTTATGAAAAGAAGAAAAATGTGTAGGGTTTTTCAATATCTACTATTTGTGTATTTGCAATTATATATTCATCTGTATCTTTCCATTATTATCTACCTGCAACTAAACCAGGAGGTGATTTGTAGGAAATAACTATTTCTATATACTGGGGAACATGTGGCATGACACTTCATTTCCATGTATATTTATGAGAATTTGCAGGTACTTATGATTCTCTTTATGAAAGTATAACATTTATGAATTATACCTCTATTTGAAGTGTGTAGCTTAATTAACTAAAATCATGGCTGATGCGCAATCCAGACTAAATGAACTATGAATGTAACCATTAATTTTCAAGTAGCTAATAGCCATTTTATTCTGTTGCTATGTTAATATAAAGTATTTTTTTAAAGGCATGGCTTATAATTTCTCTGGATTTAAGAGGAGGTTTTCTTTGTTGAAGGTTAGGGACTCGGGTTTTTTAGTGCAAACTGTGGGACTATGGTAGGGAAATGCTAGTGCAGCCAACAAACATATACTTGTGTTTTACAGAGATTTTTATAGCAATGTTTTCAATAATGACATTCAAGTTTAGATAAAGGGAACATTTATCTGTGTGTGCATTATTTCATTCAGTCACATTTTATGAACAGAAAATACTGTGATTCACTACATAAAAATCAGTTGTAATGATTTTTTTTTTTATCATTGTAAGGTATTGAATCCATTTTAGTAAGCCATACTGAGAACTCAAAAATATGCCTAAGGTGATGTTGTTTTCTTCTAAAATTTGCAAATTAAAAAAATGTTAGTAACTTAAAGATAACTTGTTTGGCAGCCCAAAAGAGGGCTGTTGCTGCTTAAGCAATTACTGAAATACTGAACTTGTCTTCTTTCTTGCGTATTTTTATTTCATTTTGGCTGCACTGTACTAACCAATGGTACATATAAATGTAGTCTAGCAGAATTTGTGCTTTCTTCCAGTATAGTGATATGTGACAAGTATATTTCTGCTGTGAAGAAAAAGATGCTGCTTACTTAGTGTTAGAGGCCTTACGTGCATGTAATGTTCAACAAATGTCTGTGATGTAAAAAACAAGTTTGTTGGTATTTAGTAAATTTTGTTATTTCGAAGTTTTGCATTAACTTGCTGTTGATATTATTAAAAATCATGTGTCCCTTTCTAAAATACTGTGCCACTAAGTTATGAGATTACAGCCATGCTCACCAAGTTTACTGTAAATTTCCTCTTCAACATGTGCCTCCCAATATCTTTTTAAACAGTGCCCGATCCCAGTCCAATTTTATAGAAAGGGAGAATTATTGTATTGCAAATCCCTGGTATGATCATTATGTGTGTATTTGTGTCCTTTTTATGTGACTGTAGTTGTGCTGAATGTCAAAATACCTATATGTATGTTTGTATGTACATGTATGCATATAAGAATGTAAAGGGATGTATTTTTAAGAATGCTGCTCTAAGATTTTGAAAAAAAGTTGTCAAGACTTGAACTGATTTTAATTTCTAGGAATTCCACAAATACCTATTTTAGAAAAGGTGAATTGGCATTAAAATGGACCTCAAATAGCATTCTCAGTAGACTGGTTCCTTCTAAAGTTCTGAAACTGTAAAAATTTCAATGTATTTTGACACTTCCATTGCCAAAGAGATATGTAAAAACATATATCATAGGCAAATAAAGTACATCTGTACAATCCCTTCAACAATTAATAATATACAGTTGGAAAATTATCTCAGGGGAGTCAAGAGAATGTTACCTTAATATTAATCTATGCTAAGTATAGAAACGAGGGAAGGACTTTTACGGCATGTTAAATATTGTGTTAAGAGTATTTGAAATTGAGGGGCTTTAATGAAAATACTTGTTCATACGATCATGAAGTCAAATATCAAATTATAAATTTGCACCCATTAAGATTACTGTTTAATGCTAACTGAAAAATGGAACCCCACTAAGATGACAGAAGAGCTTAAAACTATGGATATAGAACAAAATTGTATGCCAAATGACCAAAGATAAACTATTGAAATATATGAATTATGTTTATGAAAGAGATTACAATAGTTTAATGTCTGAATATGCATAAATAATAAAACTTGTCTACAAATGTTTGATTATGTTTGAAGGACATTATCTTCACAGGATTATTTTTCCAAAGAATGGGCATTTGCAGGATGCAAACCATTTATTGATAGCTCCATTTAACAGATATAGCAATCCAGAGCAATTTGTGAGCAATCAACTGGAATGCAACCATGATTATGAAAGCAGTTATTAACTGCAATGATTGAACACAGTTCATTTCACTGTGTTCTTTTCTAGTGTTAGTCTGGGCAGACTTTTGCACCAAGCCTAAGAACCCATCAACAGCAGCATTGTTTCTGCCAGATGTATCACCCCCATTCTTTTCACTCCAATTTTGTAGTCCCAGGAAAGCACAAAACCTGATTTATTGGCTCCTGGTGAGATAACACATCTGCCTTGCAGGCTTCATTTCTCTTGGTAGAGCCACAAATCTTTTGGTCCTGATCATACAAAAAACATTAACAAATGAAGGTATCAACCCCATTTTACTAACTACATAAGTTGTAGTAAGGCAGCTGGTAAAACCATATGGGTAAACAAATTCACTTTTTTTGCCAAGTGCCTGTTTATAGAACATTGAAAGAACACACTTGGACTTTACCTGTAGATATCATCTTTTGAACCTTCCAATGCTAGGAATAGGAAATGTGAGGCTATATGGAACCCCACATGGGAACCGAACTGAGCCCATTGGCTGTCAGTTGTGTGAAGTTCACACAACAAAACATACAGGAAGTGCAAAGGTATATTTTCCTCAGTGTAGGCTTCTTGAAGTGCTGCAATTAGTAGTTGTGGTTTTTCAACAACTGTACACATGGAAAAACACATTAGTGTGATGTTAACAAATTACCCTTTTTTCTTATGTGCAGAATTTCTCCAAGTTAGATGACAAAAAGTGTGACATTGGTGTTTAAGATGACAGTGAGCAAGCAAGATGAGCAAACTTCCCACCTGAGGTCTACTGTGGCACCAGCATGAAGCAGGTAGATCCTCTTAGCAAAGTAAAGCTGTTGTCCTATGCAAGGACACCCAGTGAATCCCCTTAGCCCTTTCCCAGTGATACTTGGGAACTGGCCAAATGGCTATTATAATTAGCAAAGATGTATCAGGCAAATGAAGGACAGTATAGAAAAGCTTTTAAATAATAAATTAATAAAACATTTGCCATCGTTTATTAAATATTTTATTACATTTTGAAAATTAAACTGCTGAGTGAGCCAGAAAAGGGAATTTTGAATACACAAAAGGGAGCAAATTACATCTCTGATTCTGTTGGATGGTTTAAAGGCACAAATCTGTGCAAGCTTAGACCAAAAAAGGGGTGGGACTACCACTCTCAGGATGTCCCAGCCAGTTTTCTGGGCCCTCTTTTTCTGCCTAAATGTACACAGAAGTTGGCCCTTATAGACTTTTAACTCTGGAATGGTAAACCTGAATGAGGGACTGTAGCACATCAGCATGCAAGTGGGAGCACACATTTACAGAATAATTTTCCAAACAAAATCAAAGCATGCACATATTAAGTTAATACATTATGAGGGCAATGAGTGACTCTCCATACTTAAGCCCACAACTCTCATCGTTAAATTTGCTTCCACTGCCTTCTACACCAATGTACCCAGAGGGCCACAAGTTGCCCACCCATGTAGTGCTCACTCGAAGTTGTACAGTCTTAATGCCCGGAGGCATTGCATTCCTGTGTCTTCGTACAAGAGGTGAGCTGATTAAGAATTATTAAGGTGTTGGGGGAGGGAACAATTGGGGATGGCCCATGCTTTTCTGTCGGCCCCCAGGCCGTGCACTCGGCCGAGGCGTCCCATCTCCAAAAAGGCATGAGACCGACAACAGGCTCTTCTCAGACAATTTGGGTATCGCACACCTATCCGTGCTCCTTGCCTTGCCTGGTGGGGCGCGTAATTCTCACTCTGCACAGAAAGTAAAGATGCGCAGCAGGCAACGTGGGGGAGGGGGGATTCCGGGTTTGACACGTGTTAAAAGGAAAAAAACCGAAGTCTTCGTTGTGACTGGGAAGGGTCTTCAAACAACGGCGACCCCCACAGAAAGAAGAAAAAAATCACCTCACACGGCGACGCTCCTGGTCTGTTCTTTCAAAGCCGTGTCTAGTTGTATACGAAATGCGATACTACGCCAGTTTAGACAGGGGAAGAAGGCTACACAAGCTGCATCACGCTGGGCATTGGAGGCTTCTTTCCAGTCTAGTGACGTAGCATTGCCTTTTTTTTCTTTTTTAAACTTACATTTACGTCGCCATTAACTCCCATTAAACCGCACAGCAAGCGGAAAGGCGTTGCGGCTTACACAGCTCGGACAGACACGCCCTCGCCCGCTCCGCAGTCCGTCAGTCGGAGGTCAGGCCGAGGTTGGCCTGCGGTTCACTCGCTGCCCCGCTCCTTCCAGAGCCCTCGCCCCCCCATACTACGCCAAAGGCCGGACTCGCACCCGGGGCCGACGCTCAGAAGGCTGAGAAGCCGCGCCTGCACAGGATGCGCGTGCCGCCACGGTCCGAGCCCCAAGAAGCGGAAGCGCCTCTCCAGGGCGTCCTCTGGGTCGGGGCCGGGCAGGCCGGAGTATAACGCGGCTGCCTGGAGCCTGCCTGGCCGTAGACGGCCCTCTCGCTTCTCCTGGAGATGACTGAGGGCCGAGGGGAGTTTTACGGAAAGCAGAAACGAGTCCTGGATTTGGTGCGCCTCTTCCTAAGTCCTCGTGCGCCTGCATAGCGGCGGGCTTGGGAACTGCATTTCCCATAAACCTTGCTGCAGCTGGCACCGCCTCATTACTGGCGAAGTCAGAGGCGCTGCGGCTCTTCCGGGGCATGATAGTGGAAGGACTGCCTAGCGCCGGGGTCCTTCCAGCCAGCTGGCCGGAGTGCGCCATGGGTTCCGGGTGCCGGATAGGTCCGTCCATCCTCAACAGCGACTTGGCGGCGCTGGGTAGCGAATGCACCCGCATGATGGACTGCGGAGCAGACTACCTGCACCTGGATGTAATGGACGGGTAACTCTCCAGATCACGCTGGGCAAGGCACGCCCTTTCATTCCCCCTCCGCAGCGGCTCCCCGTCCGGGGCAGAAGCGAAGGCGAGGCCTAGGTGGCCCCGTCATTCCTCTTTGCTGCGCTACTGAAAATTGCTCTGACGAGGTCCTCCCACCGCGGGCCCCACCAGGCCTTTTGTGCCACGGCGCGCACCGTTCGTGCCCGTTGGCCGTGCTCCCCGGGGTTGGTGGTGAGTTGTAGCCCAACACAGCTAGAGGGCACCAGGGCAGGCTTTACCACAGGGATAGTCCGTGCTTGTCTCAGGGGGATGGGCGGACAGACGCAGCCCTTGCTCCTGAATGAAAGGGAGAACCTTGGTTGACAGCTAGACGCTCCTCTCCACGGCTTGGTTGGCCATGGTGGGGTATGTTGAAGCCCCGGGTGAGAGAGAGGCTTCCCCTTCTTAAAAGGAAAAGCCCTTCCCGTTTAGCAGGGTTGCGGCAAAAGCGGGTTCACGCTTTTGAAGATACTCCTGGAGAAAGAAAACGTCTAGGGAGTATAGTTTTGTGAAACGGAGCAAGTCCTCTGTTAATCAGGCTCCACCCACTTGAATGCAAACATGCACTGTGACTTAGGGTTTTGTGGTGCTTATGTCCTGCCATTCCAGCTGCCTGTTGAAGGAGTTCGCTCAGATACAGATATGCATCTTTAGCCAAGTGCAATGAGCAGGACCCATCAAGTATACTCTGTTCATGACTATACCAGGAAACCTAATGCTGCAACACATTTGTAACTTTTTAAAGTGCTGTCAGACTAGTTGTCTTCCTCCGACAAAACCATACACCTTCCACCAGTTTCACTATGGAAATGTCATTCTAAAAGGAGCAACAGGATGGATTTAGATCTTCCTTCTTCAAAAAGGCTTGTGAGCACAAACAGTTCTTCCACTTGAGTTTTTGGGAGTTCCATTCAGTGGGTTCTCCTGACTCCCTGTGGAAACATTTGGAGGCACTGCCATGCAAAGGAGGGGGCAGGGAAGTCCACTTCCATCACCACGATTGATTCAGTGGAAGTCTAGTTCTACCCCAATGTGTTTTCATCATACTGCCACCTTAGGGAAGTTGTTACAAGAACCATTTCCAGAAAACATGTTTGTCTTCATAGTTAACAGCTCCTCAAACATGCATATTCCTGGCCCTGTCTCTTATATGGCTTGGGCTCATCCTTCATTATAATTCAGAGTAAAGAAAATACAGACTTGTTTAACTTAGCAGTACTTGTTTGAGGATTGGCTCTATAACCAGAGTAGATTTATTGAAATCAATGGAGATGGAGGTCATTACTAATTCTCATTGTTTTCATTGGATTTACTCTAAATATGGACCCAACCCTCTGTAGTTATCTCAGACCAAATATGGGCTGATTACATTTTGCCTATCACAGCTTAGTTAAACTTGCAAGCATTTTTCATGTTTAAATTTCAAAGAGCTGCTGTTTCAGTAGCTAGTACTCTAGAATCCTTGTATGGATTGTTTAAAAGTGGACCCTGCAGCAACAAAATGTTGCATAAGCTTTACTAAGGTGTAACCTGTTTCTGTAGATGCAAAAAAAGGAGGGGGGCAACACAGGATCTCTGTATTTCATCTTTCACCTTTTTAGGCTTGAGCACACCCCTTGCATTCTCTGAATGCAAGGAGGGGCCTATGCTTTCAACATAGGTTTCTGATGTGTAAGAATATGTGCACAAAGGTGTATGGGTGTAGAGTGCTGCACTCATGTGAGTGCAGTGGCCTTTTGCGGGGGGGGCAGGGTCAGATTTGCAGAGAGTCCCAAGACCATTTGGTAGTGGACAGTATACAAAGTTTAAAATAAATAATAAATCATGTGCTAACTGAATATAGGCAATTGAAATGTAAGTATTTTCAAAACCAAGGTTTGTATTACATGTGCAGGTTGAACTGGTTACTAAATGTTTGGGCTCAATTTCAAGTTGAGGTAGTTAATGTTTTGGGGCTGGCTTTGTTCTTCTGGCGTGAACAGACTCCTGGATGCAGGGAAATCTAGAGCACCCAGTTGAAATTTAGGAGAGGTGCACATGTAGAGGCCACAGTTCTCCACAGATGTGCAAATCCCACTGAAGTGAATGTGAGGCAACCTTATGGTTTGTTGAATTAGAGCTGCCTAAACCATATGGGCTGTAGGAGGCTGCTGAGAAAAAGAGAGGACATTTTGTGTCTGTGATCTTCCTTAGGTTAACTTCTGTTTGGCTTCCTCCCTCTGCCCAGTAGCTTCCCATGCCCCCATTCCACATTAAGAGGGAAGGCTTTCAGAGCTTCAGGCAGGAGGGATCAACAGGAAACCTTCCTACCTTGCAACCCATTGCCACACCCCACACTTTGCACTGGTGCTTAGGCCCTGCTTTTTCTCTAGACAAATGTTTTTTACCATCTAGATTTAGTACTGGGGAGGGAAGGAGGATGGGGAGCCAATGAGAATAGGAGTAATTCCTTGCAATAGGCAGAACTCTGTGCTCCCTGCTTTCTTCTCTGCCCTGCTGCCAGCATGCCAATTCCCCCAGAAGCCAAGTTGCAGCCTTGTGGGTTGGGTTGGGATGGGAGGGAACCAGCATGACACTTTCTGCACTGGCTGCAGGGAGGCAAGGCGGGCTCAATCATTGTAGTTCCACCTCCAAAATTTGGTGGCCTTCCCAATGATGTCAGGAGGCCAGAGGATTGCACTCTTCTCATTTATATTAGGATTCAAACGATAGTATTTAACATGCATGCAGGGGTTCATGATGTCTCTAAGAGTGGGCAGATTATAAGAGGTATTTTCTCATTTTGAATGCTGAACTTGTGACTTCCAAGGTTTTTCTAAAGCCCCATAAAAGCACAGCCAAAATCAAACAGCCAGTTTATACAGAAACAATTTTTTCCAAATATTTGTCAAGTAGCGATTTTAATGTATTTATGTAATTCTTTCCATATTGGGTAGGCATTTTGTCCCAAACATCACTTTTGGCCATCCTGTTGTAGAGAGCCTTCGGAAGCAGCTGGGTCAGCAGCCCTTCTTTGGTAAGCTATGTTAAAGTGTATATTTTGTTAAGTGAGATAAAGCCACATCTCATCTCATCTAGATAATGTGTCCAGACACTGTTTATCAGCCAGATGCTTTGTTGTCTGAATTATGGGTAAGTGCTTCTTACTGATAAATTTCCTGTCATTGATTCATGATCAATTTGTTTCTTTCTAGATATGCATATGATGGTTGCTAAACCAGAACAGTGGGTGAAACCAATGGCGGTGGCAGGTGCAAATCAGTATACATTTCACATAGAAGCTACAGACAATCCAGGGGCACTCATTAAGGATATAAGAGAAAATGGAATGAAGGTGAGAAATTTGACATAAAGAATTTAGCAGCTTCTGTGGGGGTGCACAGAGATTCCTCTCAGTTTTAAGAGCAGGACCAAGCTTCTTCATACCTGCAAAGAAATGGCAATAATTTATTACAAAGAACTGCAATATTGAGAAGTGACATAGTTGCAGTCATTTCTAAATTGCTGGAATTCTTTTCCCATTTAACAGGGTTACTGGCTGTTTGCTGAACCTGTGCTAGGCTGAAGGACTGTTGTTCTTGTTTTAATTAAAGTGGATGTACATTTCATTTTTATCCCATAAGGGCATATTTTTTGTAGCCCTTTATGAACTGCCTGTGCATGCTCTTTGCATTTATGTGCAAGTCATATCCTGGGTATTTCTCCTAAATGGAATGAGACAAATCTTAGACAATAAAAGCAGCCACAAGAGGGAAGGCATATCTGCTGCATTGCTGTATTGGGAGTAATTGAGTGCTCCATGTGGGCAGGGGGAAAAAATATCTACTAATGAAGCCTGTGCTTGGGAGGAGGCTTGGCAGAACACTGAAGCAGGCATAGGCAGAGGAGGAAGCCTTTTCTCCAACTGAACTTTTTGGGCTGACGGGCACCTTTAATTGTGCAATTTTCCTGCAATACAATAGAAATTCTTGAAACAGTTTATGACTTACTACCATAAAGAATAAACTGATTATAATTCTGGTGGAGTTCTCTTATATTTAATCAAAGAAAGGGATAGCTGGAGTATGCTTGGAAAAAAGCAAGTATATTTGTCCTAAAATGCCCTTATGAGAATAGTTAGAAAGAATGTAAGATTTGCAATATTTTTATAGATACCTTCATTTTTCTAATTTCAGCAGCATTGTCTTCATGTCCTCTTAGAATTATATAATTGGAATGGAACATTTGAACTGTTTAGAAAGAACTGATGGGATATTGTTTAATCACTGGACATGTAACATCAGTTTTGAAGGGCCTCTGCACTTTTGAAAGGAAAGTCTATAGGAACTGCACTGGATTTCCTGTCTTGTTTCACAGTTCGCTTGGTGATATTTCCTGCAGACAAATTTGGGAATCAGTTTGACATTCATGTTTTCATTCTTATAAAAGTGAGATTCAGTGCTAGTCCAAGATAGTTTCTTTCACTGTGTAATCAATGCATTTCCCCCCCATAGGTTGGTTTGGCTATCAAGCCGGGAACCACAGTAGAATATTTAGCGCCATGGGCCAATCAAATAGATATGGCCTTAGTTATGACAGTAGAACCTGGATTTGGAGGACAGAAATTCATGGAAGATATGATGCCAAAGGTAGATATGAAATTTGTTATTTTGGGTGCACTAGCCATAAGTGTATTAGGATAATGTTGTAAAAGCTTTTCATGACACAATGTTGCCTTAAGAAATGTTTTGCTTTTGCACAAATGAAGAGTGAACATGGATTACTCCCATGTTCTGACATTACTCTTTCTATGCTGCTAACTAGATTCAGTGGCTGAGAACACAGTTTCCTTCTTTGGATATTGAAGTGGATGGTGGTGTAGGTCCTGACACCATTCATAAATGTGCTGAGGTAAGCAATCCTTATGAACTAGTTTCTGGGCTCAGAATATATTCTTGAACTATTTTATTATATCAAGCTAGTCACAGGTTTTAAATGTTTGTGCTGTGCAAAGGATATTTAGTACTTGAACACTGGATTTTTTTTCTCTTTGATTTCATTTAGCTATTTCAGAAATAATATTATAGCAGTGTATTTGAATTAAACTGTAGTTCTGACAAGCCCTGTTTCTCCTTTCTGTGCCAGAAAGAAGAAAAATATAGTTAGAACCATTTTGGCAAATTGCTAAGTTGTTACAGTGTTTGCTGGAAATGTACGGAGTTCTTCTGTCATGGCTTATGTCTTAGCTTTTAATACATACAATAATGCAATATAACAAGCTTAATCCTTCTTCCAGGCAGGGGCAAATATGATTGTGTCTGGAAGTGCTATAATGAAGAGCGATGACCCCAGAGCTGTGATTAATCTGCTAAGGAACGTGTGTTGTGAAGCTGCTCAGAAGCGCTCTCTTGACCGATGAAATCAGATTATTACCAAAAAGGTTATTATTCATGTATATGTATAGATGGGATAATCATTGTAAAATCAGCAAGACTGCAGTACTGAAGAGCCATTCCTTCATTTGTGGAAGCAAGCAGCAACACACAGACTGCCCTGCAGCCTGGAGTTATATTGATCTAACTTGACTTGACTTTTCTAATACAAATTACGGAAGTTTTTGCTTGAGGATTCTTTTGGTTGCCATTTGCCATGGAACACAAATGTATTTTGTTCTACAATAAATGCAAATGTGTATGTTCCTAAACATTTTAAATGCCTGAAAATAAACACTTGACATGGAAAAGTCTTTTAAAGTGAACTTGATAAGCAGTTTTGGGTCCAAAATTTTAAGGATACAAAATGAAAAATGGAATAGGGTTTCAATAGGGTGTTTCAAGGGTTTTGAACATCTCAGTATGGAAGTAAGAAAACTTCCCAATACTAGGACTTAAACATTTAGACCAGTATGTATTGCTCTTTACTACTACTTGCTGTTAAGTTGAAGGTGCTTTGTATAAAAACTTATTAAAGTATTGCATCACTAATTGGTAGAGATGTTACATAGAAGCTCCATTTTGGAAATGCAGGGGTTTTATCATACAAGCAACTTGAGGATATTATGATTTGTAGTCTGCTGTTGATACAGGTAGAGTGCTTTCTGAATGGAAACATCTTCCTCAAAAGAAAATTTGCTTATCTCTTAATATTACATGCTACCTCATCCTTGAGATCTGATAATTATGGAAATAAACATACTAACATACTAAGCCATACTAACTGGAGGACTTCTCTTATAAGTAGCTTTGACAGTAGCTTCTTTCATTAGCAACATGGATGCTCATTACATGCAAACCAGATCAGAGTGTGGGTTAAACAGCAAAAGATGTCTTAAAGCTGTCTTTTAGGGCACCTACTTTTACCACCTACCAGGAATGGTTCATTGAGGCGCATAAAAAGAACAATCACACTGCCTCACTTTATTAGTTATGTGCCAAAAAGCCCTTGAACTTCGTCTCAGCTTTGGGTACGGTGACTGAGATGAGAGTAACAAGTGTGCGTGTATGGGGAAGGGGGCGGGGGATTGATCACAGGCTTTACTGAAGGCAGGAGGTTTTTAGGGGCAGGATTTTGTGAATGGTGCAATTAGTGTTATGGGTGGGCCAGGGCCAAATCCAGTCTGGGATAGGGAGCTATAGTTCAACTGGAAGCCACCAGGTTGACTATAACAGTATGTTCTTTGAAACAACGATTGCCGACAAGGAAGCTGTTAATTCCTTTTCAATAGTTTTTTTAAAAATGTGAAACCTCACATTGTGGATCAGCTCTCACCTATTTTTTAAGAGACAGAATGAATCTGAATAATGCTCTTAATTTAAGTACATATGCTTTAAGTACATAAGACATATCTTGCTGTCTTAAAGGGTAATCTATGTAGAATGGGATAATCAAACTAAACTAGGGGTAATCAGTGTAGAATGTCCTTTTTTCTTAGAAAGATGCTAAGGTTAGCAAAAGTCAAGTCTACTGTTGGCTGGCAGAAGAACAAATTTAAGTTTGTGAGAGTAAAGTATGTAGGATCTAAAGATGCTCCGAAGATAGGAAATAAGGATGGGAAGGATGAAGCCAAACATGATTTATTTTCAAAGATTTCCCTCTGCCCCGTTTTCTGTTGTCTTGCAAAACCCAAATTGCTTAAACATTCTGAAGGACAACACAGGAAGAGTTGTCATTCTTTAATCATGGAATTACAGTTTCTCACACTAGTAAAAGTATCAAGACCCTGGAAGAATGACAGATGATAAACTAGAGGGAACAACTGGCTATTTCACAACCCATTATAGATTACGTAAACATGCGGTGCCAAGCCAATAATGGATAAAATACAATGTAATTTGTGTATGGTGCAATCAGTGTTATGGGTGGACCAGGGCCAATCCAGTCAAGGATAGGCTGGAGGTGCACATGGTGGGCATGTCGTGAGCTGAGCCGGCTGGTGCCGGAGGTCAGACTAGATGGCCCAGGAGGTCCCCTTCTGACTCGCTCTGTTTCTGTGTTTCTAATTCCAACTTAGAGCTAGAGCCATTGAAATGAATTGGACTTAAGGTTGTCTTGATTAACATAAACCCTATTCATTTCAATAGGCCTACTCTTCATGGGATTGGCATTGCATTTACACATACCATAATCATGATTTGTGGTATTAATATACAAACTTTGAACTCTCAAGGGGTGTCATTTTACATGGTTCAGCTTTTCAGTAAGCATTTCAATCCATCAACATCACACTGTAGAGTACAGAAATAACTTTAATTTTAAAACCTTGTATTGAAAATTGCTGTATCAGAGGCAAGACTCAAGTTTAATTCCCTGGATAAAACATTTTTTAAAAAGTTAAAACCAAAATTTGCAGTGAACTACAATCTAACTTAGGCTGTAGTGTTGAAATGTAACTGAACATTTTTACAATATCCAGTGTACGTCCAGTCAGTTTGGAACGGAAGGGATAATAAAAATTGGGCCATCTACCAAGCTTAGTTTTGGAGATGACACTGAATAAAAGCTTGCTCAACAATGATACCTTCTTAAAAGCCTTCAACTGTTCTTCACAGAACACATGTCCACAGCAAAATACACTATTAGTATCAATGACAAACCTATACTACTTTGTGCACCTAGCATCAATGGAAGATGTAGATAACATTTCAAACATAGCATTTTAAAATCTGAATATGGAAATAACTTGGTTTATTAATGTATCTAAAATACTACTATTGCTTTATTTGAAATGTCATTAAAACAAACTTTTGGGGGTATATTTTAAAGTATGCAAAGCATGGATGGATACTCATAATCTGTAGATAAGTAACACAATTTTTTAGGACTAGGAAGGGGTTTTAAGTAAGTTGTCATAAAAATTGTAATTAGCTTTTCCAGTGGATTATTCAGATTTTGCACTCTTTTCCATTCCTTGCACTCAAAATTGGAATGGGTCTCCCTCCACTGTGAAATACAGCAAATCAATTGTTTAAATTGATTTACCTCCGGTATAATTTTGTCTCTCTAGTGAGAGAACTGAATAACTATATATTCACATCATCAAATTTACAAATGTTTTCCTTAAAGGGACACACAACATCCTGTTGGATAGCTTTTCCTGTATTCAAACTTGCACTGCTGAGTGGAAATAAAGCATCCTGCTGCATTGCAATCATGTACATGCTTAAAATTATTTCTCCTTCCAGTCCCAGTCTTTCAGGATGTGGCAACCAAAGATGGTTGCAGTTTAAGAAAATCCCCTTTTGACATCAAAAGTGTTAGGCTTCCAGATTGAAAGCATTCTTCTTGCAGTTGGGATAAAAGGAAAATTCTCTTGGGCTTTTATCCTGCCTGTGAAAAATAAACAAACAGACAAAAGGTGTTGTAAATATAAATATGAGACATGTTGTCATTGATTGTATGAGCATGATAATATTTTACCTTGCACATTCCTTCATCCTGGTAAGCTTTCTAAATGAACCACATTATTTTCCATCACGTTTGTCTTCTCATGCTGCTATTTCCCAAGTAAACTTGGTTGCACTCTTCCAGCTCATCAGAACTTTTCTTTCGTGAATGACTATTCTTTGGAAAACTGTGAACACTGTATGAGGTACAGTCCGAGTCACTGTGAATGGTCACATCTGAATCTTCTTGTTGAGATGTTCTTGTGTGCTGACATACTAAAGCTTCTGCTTCTTTATCCTTTAGTGGAAAAGTCCGATGTTCCCACAGAATAGACTGAAAGGAATAAAAGAGGAAATATGTGGCAAATTCAGTTGGAAATCTGTTAATAAACATGTCATTCTTTACAGCAGGGTGGAGAGAATCTGTCACTCTAATTTCAAGAGCCATCAGCATGTAATCAGTTCAGACCTTGGACAAGAGTTATCTGTTCCTTCCTTGGCAACCTGCTAAGTGGAAAGAAAGGAGAAGAAAGTAAAAAGGAGGTGGCACAGACAAAAGGTGACCCACCAAGTTTTGGTTTTGACTCTACCTACCACCAGTTTGCCTCTGACAAATTACCCTTAATAGAATTTTATCCTCAGCATTTGATCCCTTGCCTTGCCAGTAATTTTGTGGAGAAGTTTTCAGTATCTTTCGTCTTGAAAAAAAACTTTGAAATAATGCTGGAACTTAAAACTCTAAAGTCCTTCACTTACAACACTACAAAATAGAGCAATGTTTGTTATTTCTAGGATAGTGCAAGAATGGATGAATGAAACAGAGATAAGTGGCTCTTAATGCAATCTAAGTCATACCTACTCAGAAATAAGTAGCAGTATAATGTAGCTTACTCTAAGATAACTGTGTTTAGCTTTTAGCTGTGCAGTACAATGCTATAGATGTCTACTTAGAAACCCCAATGAGCTCAATGACACAAACTCCCAGGCTGCAAGGGAAGGTTTGATTCAGAAAGTTTTTAACTGCCTTCATAATCACTATACCATTTCAACGTTTATACTAACTGGTATGCAGCAAGACAGAGTTAAATAAAGGTACTACAGTATGTGAAACACACATTAGCTTTGTTTTCTTCTAAGTTTAAAAAGAACCAGTGTGGACCTCAAAAGTATTTTTACAATGTAAAATACAATACAAAGATTTTGAGCAATACTTTAAAAAAATTAATCAGTAGCAGACTATGGTCCATCTTTTTGCTAATGTGAAGAGGGCCCTTCAGCTGTCCACAAGTCAAATAATCTCAGCTATTACTTAATTATATATTTTTTACCTTTGCTACTTGGTTCCTTACTGAAGACTGTGATGCCCCCAAGTAGACAGAACTGTAGATTTCTGAAGTACTGTCTGCATTGTTTTCAGAAAAAGGAGGGCGTGTTAAACCAGAGTTGATTAGTTTTTCTTTCAGTGTTTGATCTTGTCCCTCAGAACTTCTGCTGCCTGATCTGTAATGAAATAAACATCCAGTTTCTTCCAAGCAGAAATCATCCGACAGAAAATAGCTGCTTGACATATTTTTAAATGGATGAATTAGTTTTCTTAGAATTCTAAAAAGAAATTCCAAGTATCAGAAGGGGGCATTTAAAAAGAAGTTAGAAACTGTCCCATTGTGTATAAGAACATTCTATTCCCAGATGGATCACTGGTTCTCCATTCCTTATGCTCATCAGAAAACTGAAACAAGGCCAACAGCTTGGAATACGAGAGCAGTGGGTGTAAGGGCATCAGGGGACCCTCCTGGCTGCATCCACCATGGGACACTTCCTTCAATAAGAGCAAACAAGAAACCCTTCCATCCTGTTCTAGGGAATGATGGAAGAGCATAGTTGAGACAACATGTTGTAAACACTATACTGCTCTCAACTGGAGCTGGGAGAAAATATAACTGGAAAAGGACAATCTGGACTTAAAGCAGGGGGTTTCCTCTGCTTCTGGAAGGATGCAACACAGATTGGTCTGACCTTCCCTCAGAAGTGGGAGTTTCCTCCCTGATCCATGCACTTGCTGAAAAAATGAGTAGAATCACAGAATCATTGAATGGTTGAGTTGGAAGGGGCCATGAAGGCCATTGGGTCCACCTTCCCTGATGTTGCAAGACACCAATTTACACCATCCCACTCAGATGGGGGTCCAGTTTCTTTCTGCTTGTCTATGGGAAAGTCCACCATCTCTCTAAGCAGCTGGTTCCATTGTGAGAAAACATTTCCTAATATTTAGCCTGAATCTGGGTTGTCACAACCTGAGTTGTTTATTCCATGTCCTACACTCTGGAATCAGTGAGAAGAGATCAGTGAGTGGAACAAAGTTGGGACCAAAAGGGATGATCCTACATTGTTGGGTCTGAGTAAAAAGACAGATGCTAAAACCAGTGATGATGATACAAAATCAAACTAGGTTCATTTAAACCCATTTTCTTTGCAGTATTTCTTTGCTTTCTATACTGAGCCCATGGCCCACCTGTTTTGTAATTAAATAGATCATTGCTGTTGAGTATGTCTTCTGTTCTAGAGTGACACTCCTGATAATGCAGCAGAATGGAGTTAGGCATGATGGCATAAAGCTATGACTCTAATTATGGTTGTTGCATCACAGTCTACCAATGCTTTGCTGTGTGAATCTGCTTTTTTGAGATAGGGCACACCCTGGGTTGTAAGAATTGTGCAAGTTCTTGCTGATTTTCCTGAAGGCAGTCATACAAAGAAACAGTATTTCCCCATAGATAAATTGGTAATGAGACATGGCTACTTGGTAATTTGAAAACTTGTGACCCATGGAGGGATTTTGCACCCTTCAAATCAAGCCATCACCATGCCCATCCATCAGTCCAGAATGGGTTTTTTGTAACCATGCTGGTAAAAACTCTACAACCACAGATACGGAACAGACAGATGAAGAAGCGAGCTGTGTTTATTCCTACAGTCAGTACACATGCTTCTGCCTCTGACGTTAGGGCTATAGAAGATGGAGCCTTTCAAGACTGCTGTACTATCTAAACTAAGGCAGGCAGGAAGAACATTGCTACTGGCATGGAGGATTCTGTGAGGAGATAATCAAAAACAGGCTTTTCAAGCCTTGGTACTGGTTGCTTGGTGCAAGTTATATGGAGGCCAAAGAGGATCCGAGGGAACATGCGGAAATTTGTTGAGAGAGATGTGTGCTATGCAGGTGTGGCAGGTTTCCTGCCAAAACTTCATCAATTATAGAAGCTTTCAGACCTGAGGCTCCACAAAGGCACAGAGTATGTATTTGTTATACACAGAGATCACAAAGAAGAATCTAGTCAAGCTGGCAAGAACTACCATGCCATTCAGTGCTGCAGGACAATCATCACAGTTTTCTTAAACAGTGTTTGATTCATCCTAAGGACAGATCCATACTCGAATTATTATTTCATCTCTAGTTAAAAAAAGAATATATGCATAATGGAAAGGATCTCTTTCAGCTTCCTAAAGTTTAACTGGAATTGATTTGACAAGGTAGTGTTTACTATTTTTATGCTGAACTAAATTGTTCGATGGTATTTAATCACATAACTTTATTTTCAAAGGCCAGGACCCAAAAAGTTGTCTAGTCTCATTATTTCCTCTGCATACTGACTCTGAGATGAGTCTCATATACCATCTTTGAACCCCACCTTGTAGTTAAAGAAATTTAAAAAGTATGTCATGTGGAATATGGAGGTTATCTTAGAAGGAAAAAATGGCTGCTGCTGGCAGAAAACAGTGGAAAACCAGTTCTACACTGTTTTGGTTCCCAACCAGACTTTCAAGTATTAGCAATCAGGTATTTCAGTATTAGAAACAATACATTCTATTGAGGTTTACTTTTCTACATTATACTAAGAAAACCCAAGGAATGCTTTCTAAATACAGATCTGAGATGATGGAATGTCAAACAAAATGTGGTTCATGAAAAACATTTCATTAAGAGAACCAAAGAATGCAATCCAATTAAGTGTTGTCTTGATGGAACACTTTCTGTCATTAGAGCAAGAAGATAGTAATTCCTCTCAATCGTGCATCAAGTGTTCTCTCAGAATCTGCCTCAGAGAGCAGGTGGAACTTTGCCACAGTATGTGAGTATATAAACAACAGCTAATGCACCAGGAAAGCCAAAACATGTATAAAAGTAAACCTAAGTCTCAAATACTGGGAAAATATTTTAAAATGAACTTTGATCAAACTGTTAGAAATCACAAACACATCTAATATATGCACAAAGTTACTGCATGAGCACTGATTATACTGTCTCATACTGGATTCAACACTATACAGTATAGTATTATATACTGAAAGCCTGTACATGCAGAAATGCTGTGCAAGTACTGAAATATACATGGACTTTTCAATTGAAGCTGAAAAAACTTTGATTTGTATTTGAAAAACTGGACAACAAGCTCTGGTGGACTCCAAAGCACAAGTAAGACAAATGAGAGCACTAGTAGTTAATAAGATTCTTATGTAAGTCTCAATTTCAACCTGCCTGTTCCTTCTGGGCCATCGCCATTGCTCCCACAGTGACCAACGTGCTCTCTCTTTGTCTTCATATTTTGCATGACGTACAGCATACACATCATCAGATAGATCTTCTGCCTAAATGTTGAAATATCCAGCTTGTAAATGTTATTAAAAGTATAACAGCAGTTTAAAAATAAACCCAATTATTTGTAGTATAGTTTGAAGAGAAGAAATAACAGGAGGGACTTCTTCAATTCACCACATTGCAATATAAATGATAGAAACTCTTTTTCAAACCCTCACCATACAAGAAAGTGTGATGGAAAGGTGAAATCTTATCGCATTTGTACAGTGCTTTTGGGATAAGATAAGGCAGGTTGCTGGACTTCTGGATGACGTCATGGCGAGACGGCTGTGAAGAATGGGGGCTCCTGTAATCACACTGGTAATTTGTTCGACAGTGAGCTGTGAGAGGCTCATCTAAGCCCTCTCGGGGCAGGAAATAGAAGCCCGAGCATACTTCTGGGCAATGTGGGGCGGTGGCTCCACATTTACTGGGAGAAACTCAGGATTTTCTCAATCAAACAATACAGGGGAGAGATCAGCTCCCTGCAAGCCATAGACAACTGGATATAGCATAGTATAACAGCTTGAAGTTCATCGGACCTGCTGGGTGAGCATTTCTACTTTTTCAATATTACCCATGAAAGAATTGAACCAGATACTAATTGGGACAAAGAAGAAAGAAAAGTCCCCTTGATGGAGGGAGAAATTCCCCCCACCCCCCTGCGGAGTTTAAGCGGTGACTAATCTAGGGGAGAGGAAGTGAGATTTGGAAAATATGAGGCTGGAAAGAAAGATTTCTTTTTTCTAACCTCCCCAAGGGCGAAGAATCAGAATAAAAAAACTATTGTGGATTAAGTGATAGAAAAACTTTTACTTATCTTCCGCTTCTCAAAAGAAAAGAGGTTTAGCGTTATACATCAAGGAAAAATTAGACACTAAATATATATTAGCTGATGAGGATGGTAGGATTCTGATGGTTGAAATCACAATGAAACTTAAAAAGGTGCTTTTAGTGGTGATCTATGCCCCAAACGACCATCAGGAAATGTTTTATCAAAAATTACATGCTTTACTTTTACAATTGGACTACCAGACCGTGTGTGTAATGGGAGACTTTAATGCAATTGTGGACAAGAAAATGGACCATAAGAGTGAGATTAAGGGCAGAAAGGGCAAGAGGATACTTCCAAAGTCTTGTTCTAATATGATTGAAGAGTTCAGATTGATAGATGTTTGAAGACATAAAAACCCAACCTCTGCTAAATATACTTTCTATTCGAATAGACATAGGTCGTGGTCTAGAATTGGTATGGTTTGGATAACCCCAGACTTAGTACCAGACTTGCTAGAAGCTGAAATAAAGGCAAATGTCTGGGCAGATCACAACCCTGTAACTATATCACTGAAAGGGACAGTAAAAACGCCCAGATGGAGGTTAAACAAAGCCTTATTAAAGGATAAAAAATTAAAGACTAAATAATGAAATGCAAATATTCTTTCAAATTAATAAAACTGAAGAAACCTCTTTGCAAAATGTCTGAGATACAGCCAAAGCCTATGTCAGGGGGCTGATAATAACATACTCAGCAAAAATAAACAAAAGATAAAAACAAGAACGAACTAAAATAGTAGAGGAATTGACGAAATTAGAGGAACAAGAATTAGAGGAAGATTCATCCAAAAAAACCCTTAAGGTACAAATGAATATTCTAAAACATAAACTGAACCTCCTGGACACAAATGAACTCACTAACCAAATGAAATTGACAAAACAGAACTTCTCTGAAAATGTGAATAAAACCAGGGAGACTGTTAGCCTATAAAGTAAAGAAAGAAAGAGAGAAGAGACTGATAAGTAAATTGAAGGATGGAGTAGGACGACTGCAAGTACAAAGTACACATATCAAGAAAATAGCGGAAGATTTCTTTGCAAAGCTATACCAGAATTATGAGATTTCAACTGAGAAAGTAAAAGAATATATTCAAAAGGGAGACCTGCCAAAGTTACCAGAGAAATACCAAAAAGTATTGAATCAAGAAGTAACTATCACAGAAGTAATAGAGGCAATTAAGTGACAAAAGAATGACAAAACTCCTGGCCCAGATGGGCTACCAGCAGAGTTTTATAAATCCTTTGAAGGAATTTTTGCTACGCTTCTTAAGGATATATGTAATGCAGCATTGTTAAATGCTAAAATACCAAATACTTGGACAGAGGCAAATATCACATTAATGCTGAAAGAAGACACGGAGTTGACGCAGATTCAAAATTACAGACCTATATCACTATTAAACATGGATTAAAACATTTTTGCCTCCATAATGGCAGAAAGATTGAAGAAGTATCTAACAGACTTTATTCACTCAGATCAAAATGGATTTTTACCTAAAAGACAAATGAGGAATAACTTGAGAACTATCCTGGACATCTTAGAGTATTATGAGATACATATGGAAAAACCAATGGCACTATTATTCATGGACGCACAGAAGGCTTTTGACAATGTTAACTGGCAATTTTTGAAGCAACAGCTAGCTCAAGTGTTTGGTGAAAAATTTATTAATGCGATATCAAGCATTTATCAAAAGCAGTCTGCTAGGATTATAATCAATGGAGAATTTACAAATATTATAGATATACAAAAGAGTACAAGACAAGGATTCCCGCTATCACCTCTGTTGTTTATATTGATCTTAGAAGTGTTAAACAGAAATATTAGGGACGATACGGACATTAAAGGTACTAGAATCAGAGATGAAAGCTATAAACTGCAAGCATTTGCAGATGACCTAGTTTTCATTACGGAGGAACCCTTAGCAACGATGCCTAAACTCCTACAAAGGATTGAAGAATATGGTGAGGTTACTGGGACGAAAATAAATAGAGAAAAGACGAAATGGTAAGTAAAAAATCTCACACAGGAGCAGAGAAAAACTCTGGTGGAACAAGTAGACTTTCAGTATGTTAAAAAGGTTAAATATTTGGGAATTTATCTTACAGCTAAGTGTACCACTCTGAAAGAAGACAATTATGATAATCTATTTAAGGAAATTAAGAGTGACTTGGAAAAATGGGCTAATTTGCAATTATCCTTGCTGGGAAGAATAGCACTAGCTAAAATGAATATATTACCAAAGCTTTTGTTTCTATTCCAAATGATTCCCATAAAAATTGATAGAATTTTTTTTGATGATTTAAATTTTCAAATCTCAAGATTTATATGGAGAAAGAAGAAACCAAGGATTAAACTAAAAATACTTCAGGAGGCTAAAGAGAATGGGGGCTTTGGTCTCCCTGACTGGATGCTGTACTATCAGGCTTCTGTTTTAACGTGGCTAAAAGAATGGATAACTTTAAGAAATAAGAGAATCTTGAAGGGCATGATTTGCAAATGGGTTGGCATGCTTATATGTGGTATGAAAAGGCGAAGCTACATGGCTCTTTTTTAAGTCACTACATTAGGAAATAATTAATGTCGGTGTGGGAAAAATTGTATAATAAATTACCAAGATTGCTTTCACCTATGGAAACTCTTCTATATCCAAATGCATTGAACTTTGAAGGGATCATAAGATATGATGACATTTTGGATAATGATGGAGGACTGAAATTGAATCAAGAAACACAAGAACAAGGATCTAATATGTCTTGGTGGCATAAGGTGCAGATACAATCGAGATAAGCTAAAGACTACAAAATGTGGGGCTTCTATAAAGATTTAACAACATTTGATCAGGTGATGCTTAAATCAGATGAGAAAATGATTAAAAAACTATAATTTCTTACTCGATAGGAGAATGGAAGATGAACAGGTTCAGGACACTATGATAACATGGGCACAAAACTTTGGATTTAATATTGAATTAGAAAAATGGCAAAAGCTGTGGGAGAGAAATATTAAGGTAACATTAGCAACTTTGTATAAAGAAAACCTGTATAAAATGTTTTATAGATGGTATCTGTTGCCAAATAGATTAGCTAAGATGTTTCCAAATATGTCAAATGGATGTTGGAAATGTAAACATAAGTTGGGTACTTTCTATCATATGTGGTGGACTTGCGATAATGCAAAAAAGTATTGGATTAAAATACGTAAATGGCTTGAGGAAATTACAAAAATCCTTAGCTTTTAAACCTGAAGTCTTCTTATTAGGCATTATACCTGTTGATATTAGTAAACGAGAAATGTACTTGATTTTACATGTAGTAACTGCGGAGAGGACTGCATTTGCTCAACACTGGAAAAGTGACGAGCTGATCCTAAAAAGATCTTGGACTGTGCAGAAATGGATAGATTGACTTTGTCACTGAAGGAGAAAGAAGATACTGATTTCTATCAAACTTGGGACTCTTTTTATCATTGGTTAGAGAAAGGGGACTTCATATAGATTTAAATATGTTTCTAAATTATCATAAATGGAAAAAAATGTGGGGCTGACCCAGCAGGTCCGATGTTTATGATGATTGATGTTTTTAGTCTTTCTTTGTTTTAGGGTTATTTTGAATAAAACTTTTTATAAAAAAAAGAAAAGGCAGGTTGCTTACCTGCAACTGTCTTTCTTTGAGTGGTCATCTGTGCATTCATACATATGAGCACATAATGGGCTTTGCTGCGGAGTGCAAGGCCTGAATTGGAGACAAAACTTCCAAAGCTCAGCAGAATGGAATGGGTGGAAGCTCCCCCCCCCCCTTTATCCAGTCCCTCAGTGCCTTAAAGACCACATAGTCAGTCAGGGGAAAGTATACCTAGACACAACCCTGGCCTCCTGCCCAGCATGAGGTGAAGACACAAGGAGCGGTGGCCAACCCAAAGGGGAGGTCAGCAAATTGGAAAGTCTCCTGGCTCAGTTGGAAACGAAGGAAGTGCCTCCAGGCCAGGTGGATACAAATGTGGAAGTATGCATCCTTGAGGCCAATGGAGGGGAACCATTTGCCCTGTCTAAGGGGCAGGGAAGGATACCCTGGCTGGTGGTACTCCTGAACTTCTGGGGAGTGATGAACTTATTGGGCCTATGTGCTGTCAACATCAGTCTAAGGCTTCCATCCCTTTTGGGAATGGTAAAGTAGT